GCCTGCTGTGGTTTCGAACGGCCCGAGCTGTTTCTACTGTGTCATGCGTTGGGTGCCAAATATAAGCTTCCGATTCGTGACTTGCCCTACAGGTAATCACGAGGGAATTTGTCTACTCGCGTCCAAATGCATTCTCAAACAGGAGTGAAGATTGGCAGACATGCACGAATCAGGCAGCATGCATCCGTGGCAGTTTGCTGTCATTGAAACGCAACAGATGCCACCAGGCACCATGTCCGAATAAAGGACATTGAGCATTGGGAGCGTGTCTTCGCGACTCAAGGCAGGGAGAGTTTTAGTCTAGTAGTCTTGTGATGCAATATGTCGCTGTGTGCGCAAGCTGCGGGATGCATTGCTGCAGAATCTGTGGTGCCAACGCACATTCAAAGGCCTATACTTTCTTGCCTTTGGCACAGGCTGTTAACATTGTGTAGCATGTTGTTTGCATGCTGAGGTTTTGTCCAGCCGTGCGAGTTGTTGAACTGTTGCGGCACACAAAATCAGCTGGAATACTTATAAGAGACAGCTTGCAGTGATTTCGTGTAGGCTGCTTCCTGTTCTCCAATTGGGGGTGGTGTTGAGAGGGGTGGAGGGGCTTATTGTAATGGCCTACACCTCGCCACATGGCCGGCAGATTGACAGCAGATTGTTCCTTCATCGCATGCATGGACTTTTCCGGGCTGCTTCGCCAATGGGCAGAGAGTGTTTGCAGCACATTCATGTTTCGACCTTGCAGAGCTTCTTCAAGGCATGGTGCAAGGCTGCACAGACAAGATGGAACTTGCAGCCATAAAAGGAAAGTGAATCCGCCTGCCAGGATAATACTCACAGCGATTCCTTGATCTCCAATCAATCTGGCGACAAACATTTAACTTCTTGTGATGCCTAGTCTCACAGTGTGCCACCCAAATGGTGAGTTCACACTTGTGTTTGGTTTGTCTTTTCGCCGATGAACAAGCACATAAAGAGTGACGACAATGCGTTCATCCACCGCAAGTTATCCTAGATTGACACGGCCGATGGCCTCCGAAGAAGCGGACACAAAGGAGGCGCGGCCACTGAGCAAGGTGCGGTCCTCCAGTAGGGCATCGTCGTAGGCTTTGGGTGCTTGGGCTGTGACGTGAATGGTGAAGCTACCAGTATCATGAGGATCACAATGCAGGCATGAGCATACCCCAGATTAGAGTTGACAACGTTTTAGACTTCATCCCAGGCTGGATGCCAATTGCATGATGGAAGTACCTGACAGACCGAGCTGCAACTTGTCACAGTCGGAGCCATTGTGAACATAGTTGCCAATGCTGCACGTTTGTTGTGCACGGCAGCTCGGATTGTACGGAGCCCTCACAGATGTTACTACCTTTTGGCCTGGACCACTCGAAGTCATGCTGGCAAGAGAGGGATTTCTCCTGGAGGTTTCTTGGTGAGAAACAGCTATGCTGCCAGCCGCGGTGTTGCTTCGTTCCACACCAGCCATGCCAGCAAACGCGTGGGATATTGGATGATTTCCAGCTGCGCATGAAGGACGGCCTCAAATTTCAAATAGTTTTGCAATGAACGTTTGGGCTTGGTCATGACACCACAAGCTGCCAGTTCGTATTGTCAAAGGGTTCTTCCGCTTGTGCAAAATGCCAAGTACTGCCCAAAAACATCCCTCAATGGGCTGAAGATAGGAACGAGGCATGTTTGCGCAAGGACGTCCGGGAGGAAAAGCCTGAGGAGAGACCTGTGGACGCTGAAGGACCTCCGGAAGAGAAGGACGTGCCGCCAGAGGCTCAGAGTTCCCCCCAAAGCAGGGCGCTTCCAGCAGGCCAAGCCGTACCCGATATTGCAAACCTGTGAGTCAATTTCACGACGTGTAGCACTAGTGGTAAACACGTTTCTTTCAATCTGAAGCCAAGGGCTACTTCCTGTGAAGCCTGGAGTTGTCGAAAGTTGAATTGCACGTATATTACACAGGCAGTGTTGCACGCAGGATTTTAAAGCACTGTTTGCACCAGCGAGAACAAACGCTAGTAGCAGCAGCAATGTGTGATCCTTGGTGACCAAACACATGGCTCTGAGTTTGCTTGGGGAACACCCAGCAAAGTGGCTGGTGGACAAAAACAAAAAAGAAACCGCTTAGGCCTCCCCCGCCTCCGCCCCCTCTGGGATCCTGGAGTGGGGCCTTTGCCGGCGTCGTGAGCGGCCGCGGGGCCAGGCGCGGGCCAAGATCGAGTTGGCACTTCCAAGTGGCTGTGCGTGAAACGTCACAAAATGCCACTTCATAGTTGCTGAACCGCTGAACCTGCACATGCAAAGAGATCCCGAGTGACAGATGCAATCCTTAGGGTGTTAGGCACCAAGATCAGGCATTGATGATTGAGTGATGGGATCGTTAGGCTGCGCTCTTGGTTTCCTGCCAGCAAAGGGGAGTTGCTCCAAACCTTGCAATATGCCATCCTGTGCTTCCGCATTGCAAGGCCTACGACAAGCGACATTGATTGTACTCTAGTAATTGTTATTCAACCATGTTAAACTACACATTTGCATTGTTGTGTTCTTCGCACCCTCTATTCAGTCTCAATGCTCCGGAGAGACAAATCAAATAATCGCATCAATCAATTATGTTGGTTATGCCAGGTGCGGTCAGAATTGTCCGTTGTCCAGAAAGGGCATTGCATGCTTCAATAATGGCTCAAACGAGCATGCTTGCGTGGCTTGTTTCCACGAGCCAAGAAGAAGCACAATCTCAGTGCTCTTGATGTCTTCAATCACCTAGAGTTTACAGACTTAGAGCCAACACAGTCAACCAAACAATCAAGCATAGATTTCCTTTGCTGGCGGCTCTTGGCCCTGCAGGGTCACCCGAACTCTTCAGTTGTGCTGCAAACCCTTTGCGTGCTCAACGTTTTCGTGTGGCAAGAGTTGTGATCAGCTGCTGGTGTTGGGCTTTTGCTTGAGAACCAACCTCTACGCAGTAGTCCGCTCGGTTTTCCCTCTGTGCCATGCCTGCTCAAGTCGAAACACTTGTGGCGCGCCGATTTTGCCGTGCTATCCGGGCCTCCAATGTGCAATTTGTGCGGTCTGAAAGCTTGCCGCAGCAAACCAACTCAGCCCCGTGAAAGCTGCCAATTCCAGGCGGGCGGGGACGCGGGGGACGCCCTCAGGCGGCGGCATTCTGGGGCGCCTCTGGAGTCCGCCCGGCAGCTTTGAGCCAAAACTCGGAGGGGTCCTTCGCAGAGAGCCGTTTCAAAAACGGACTCTTGGAAAGCTCGCCAGGCGCGAAAGTTGTTGTCTGGAAGAAAGCATGTTTGTATTTGTTGGGCTGGTGCCTTGTTCACGTTGAAAGCAGGGGGCGTCTTCTTTGTGCCGTGCTTTGTGTTCTTATGCCGAGGGTTTTCAGCTAAAGTCTGTCCTTGCATGAGTTGCCGATTGCTCATGGCAGGACCGTCCTGGGCTCCATCCGTTGCGCGGTGTTCGGGTGCAATTGCGACGATTGAAGCGATCAGAAAACGGCGTGAGCATTGCATTGCTCCCGGTTACACGCAGAGTCCTAGGCCCTCTTGGGCACATGCTGGGGGCTGGTATATCGATTCGGGTGATTTTCGCTGATGATTCCGGTCATTCCGGTGACATGCACATTCCAACCGAAGCGGCTTCGTATTGCCTGAAGTTTAGCCCTGGAGAAACTCCAGCTGACTGCAGCGCAGGCAATTATCAGGCCTTCCGTCTTATACGCCTTGCACGAGGCGGTTTCATTGCGGCGGGCTTGGGTCCATGGCATGTGACAATTGTTCGGGGCTTCCTTCTCACAGTCACATGCAAGAGTGCTCATAAGAAGCTTGTTCAAAGTAGCCACAGCATGTCCAAGTAAACCAGGTCCAACGCTCAATACTTAGTTTGCAGATCGAGATGAGTTGCTTTCTGGTGGCTGTCATTTCAAGAATTGCGCCACAACACTCCAAGGATGCCATGAGGAGGAAGAGGTAGCATGATGTTCCGTGCTTGAGGGAGCTCCACCTTGCAAATAGATGACCCGTGTTTGGTCTGTTTGAGAAGGCACTACGCCACACTGCGAGGCAAATTAAAACGTATAGCATTGATGTGATGGATGCACCCCTTTGCCATTTAAACTTTGCGCAAAAATCGGGCTCTTCGCGAGAATGTTGCGGTGCGGTGGTGCTTGCAAGCTGGGAGGCTTCCTCTTTGCCATTGTGCCACGTAATTGGTGGATGGGTATCCTGCAGAGGCCGATTGTCTCGATGATGCTAGACTTATTGGCAGGGAATGTAAGAATGCGACATGGCGGGAACAGGCAAGTGCAAAGATTCAAAACAAACACATCAAGTGTAAAAGTGGTTGGTGGCATCACCCTCTTGGGCCAGCGAGTGTTCAACGTTTCGCTTGTGATTGTTTGATTGAAAGAGTCCCCCTGGATTACATCGAACAGAATAAAGGGAATCACACGCTTGCGACGACCAGTGGAGTAATGATTCACGCGCCAGGCTGCAGTGCCCTGGGCAGGCACAATGCCTTGATCAAAGCCCTAGGTGGGGGCCTTAAAGGTGAATTTCTCATTTCCAGCCGCCTGCGAGCCGTCCTTCTATTTGCGCTGGCGTCACACCAGCAGCAGTGTAGGGCTTTTGCATCCGGATCCCGGAGTTGAAAGTGTGAGATTCTTGCAAGGAACTCATTTGGCAGCAACTGACTCTTTGGTGCAGCAAGTGGCCCGTTTCACTGCCCACAAGGCATGATTGGCTTGCGGCACCTGATCCGAGTCAGGACGGGGTCTTGCAGCCAATGCGCTTGCTGTGCGATCCACATCAGGGAAACACATGATACACTTCCACAGCATGCCAAGCATTCCTTGCTGTCAACTGCTTCAGCCAGCGAGCATGCAGATTAGCTCCGCTACAAAACTTGAGTTCCTTGCTTGAAGGCAAAGGTATGCGGCCGGCCGTCGGAGCGTGGCCCAAGCAAAAAGAACCGCCCCTTCCCACGCTTAACCATCGCTCATCATGGAGGCCGGACTTGGGCACGGCTTTGCTTTTCTTGGAGATAATGATCCAAAGTAATAGAGTATGCTGGGACTTGCAGGAAAAAAAAGCTATCGACTGTTGTCCAAACCGTGTGAAGAAGAGAACGTTGACACTCCGCCTGCAAATGTGTAAGCTTCAAGTGCGGGTAAGAAGAGGGAATTGAGCGGCTGGGCATATGCGATTGAGGCCATTTGGCCCCTTGCATGCTTCCTATGCGGCCAATTTGTCATCCTTTGCAGCGCGTTCCCGAGGACGTGGAGACCAGCTATGCGGCTTTGGCCCGGGATTCTTTGAAAGCAGCGGACTCAGGTGAAAGGTCGTTTGGGGTAAAGCCCCAGCTGAAGATGACTTAGCAAAGCTCACGAGCAAGGGTGTATGTAGCGTCAGGCTCTCTTCCTTTGCAGCTTCCATGCAGAGTTCAGAGTTCGTCGCAATCCATCCATCTGCATCCGAGTTGCATCCGAGTTTGTGTTGAAAGCCCATCTTGCCCATTGAAGGCCACATATCAGGAGACCGTTTCCACACATCCCCAATCAAGAGCCACATCCTATCACATGACATTCACATGACATGCTGATTCACTGAATGATAAGCAAAGCACCGTCCATCAACTGGATGCCGACGATAAACATGACACCCGCCATTGATGAAGCGTAATCAAAGCTTGAACTAAATTAAAGCACCAACTACATGTATCCACTTATCACATTGGTTCTTCTTCAAAAGGAGTCAAATCCTGCTTATTCTCTTCAGCAGCATCACATGCCCCACCGAAGTAGTATGTCTCAAACTGGGGAATCGCCGCTTTAGGATGGTTTAAGACCACCTGGTTAAGATCCAAATGCCTCAACGTCAGACACACCAAGAGTTGGACGTTCAACTTGGCAAAGTAGCATAAAACATGACTATAGTTGTGCAAACCATCCTTGCGATCCCACTTAGAAGCTGGCTATAACCTGGGCTGAACACCGAAGCCCGGACACACACCCAAATGTGTTTGTTCCAAAAACGAGAGCCACTTGTTTGCTGACTTGATTATATCATTGTAATGGAATATATTCAACGTGTTGTGTGTCTGAACATGGGGCAATCCCCCCCTTCAGGATGGTTGAAACGGAAATCAAAAGGGCACAGAAAGGCCATGTGTCCCCAACACCCGCCAATATGTGGTACAGTAAAACCACCTCTTGGCCTGGAGTTGGTAGGGCTGTTAATGAACCCTTTCCCAGCTATAGGGGTACCAACCAAGGCATCATGTCCATTGACATATCCTGCCTGTTGTTCTTTTACACAGGGCTTTCCACAAGAAAAGGTATCTGGCAAAAGAGTTGGCACCAAAGCACCAAACAAACCCAAAGGCGCCAACCCAAAAAAGGCGCCAACTCGCCACAGGCGGCCTCCATGGAGCACGGCCTGCAGACCACCGCGGTCTACTGGGAGGGTCAGATGAATTCCTTCCGCGGTGTCTTCGGCCAGGCGGGGCGGGTACAGAGCGGTTGTGGGGAAGGGCAAGATGGCTTTTGGATGGCCTTTGGATGCCTCGGGAAAAGAAAGGGCAACCTGAAATCAGGGGTCTTGTTGAATTTCCTTGCGTTTTAGGGGTCGCTTGCTTCATGCTTGTGGAATTTGCTCGCCAGGGAAGCAATAGCCACACCAGCTGCCTAGTACTGCGCAGGAGAAATTGGCGTGTCTAGTTGGCCATTTCTGACGAGTTGCTTTTGTTGTATCCCGCAAGCTTCATTGACCTTGACTCTGAGAAGGATTGAAGACCCCTACCATGTTTGTTTTGAGGATGCGTGGAGGAAACCAAAGGAAGCCGGCTCATTTGGCTTTTGGCAGACCGGCACATTGCATGCCAAACCCGAGGTCCTTTTACAAAAGATGATGGCACCCTTGAATGTCTATGGCATGGGGTTTCCACATGGGAATGCCCTTGCTAATCCTGAAAACAATGCTATGTTTGGAGTTTCGCTATTTGACATTGAGGCCAATCCGAGTGACATTCAGATCCTCCAGTGAGTTAGTTGATTCTTCGACAAGTGCCGTGTTTCAAACCTCCGACAGGTCAAACCAAGTCATTGACCATGCTTGATTTTGTTCTCAGGCGACCTACGGCCAGAAGTGGACCTGGAAGCTGGTGGATGATCGCATTCGGTCTCAGTGGGGTGCGCCAATGCGGAGTCTTAATGCCCAAAAGTGCCGAATGTGAGCATGCCACAGAAGCACCATGTCAGAGCTTTGGAACAATTTCTATGAAGAGGCCCATGGCCCATGTCACCAGACGTGAATCTCTCTCAGATTCTTTGGCCGAGAGCTCTGTGGATGCTGCCCAGTGCATGGCTTTTCCATGAGTGGTCGTTTTCTGGCTTTGGGGTCCAGTCCCCATTTTCTCATCTTCTCTCAAACGACCGGGAATCGTCCCTGAAGAACCCGGGCCAGGCCTGGATCATTGCGATGTAGCAAAAGAGCCCTTCGTCTTCTACGGGGCTTCACCGCCACGCTTGAGCACAGCCAAACCATCAGTGCGAGCGAGGGAATGCGCAAGCCTTCGTGGGGTGGATTGTGCAAGCAAGCCCGAATTGAACTCATCATTGGTTGCTGTGATATGTGGAGCCACGCAAGTTGAAGTGTTCCCATAGCAGTGCGAATGTTTGCATTTGTGTGTTCGAGAATCCTTCAGGGAGCAGATGCGCTGCTACCACACAAACACTGGATAGCTCTGCATTGCAGGATCGAGGCTATTTCCGGAAGTACTACGGCGACAAGGACATCTATGAGATTGAGCCTCTCGGCTCGTGGAATTAGCTCCATTCGTTCATCACTGATTCTTTGGATTTCAGTCACGCCATTTGAGGGGCGAAGGGAGCTGGTTGACGCCATTTGAATACTGGGTGATGGTTCAAGCTTAGAGATGGATCTCAGTTTCGGCTCCGGTAGGCCTACCAAGAAGCGCTTCAACTTCAGCTTCTTCCCGACAGGAACCACGGATCCTTTCAACAGGCGGGCGGTCGCGTTTGTGAGATTTGGTCAAGTGGGACCTGAGAAACTCTAAGTTTCGCACCAGGAAACTCACAACGTGTCTCATGTCCCTTGTGGTCACCGCATGTTTTGACAGCGGCTCGGGGGTGAATAAGTTGTGCTTGTCAACCCGATTTTGGGATATGATTGTTTCTGCCATTTGCACAGAACCAGACCAGGTTGTCGTAAAGGGAACAAGTTGATTCAAGTTATTTAGTCTCAAGTTTTGGTCCCGGTCGGATGCAGCCTAAATGTTGTTTCTGTAGGGATTGTTTGCAGGTGGTTTTGGTGTGCAGTACTGTTGGGGGCTTGAGTGGACTGCAAATCAGAGCGACGCATGGCAACCAATCCATTCGCGGATGTACCATGGCTTGTTTGGCACAACCGGTCATCGCAAAGACGTCAACCAAGGATGCAGAATTTATGATTTTTCAAATCATCTGTTTGTCTTAGCAAACTCACCTTCTACTCGTTTCGGACATCAACTCCTTGCCATCTTCATTGCTTTTCGTTCGCACCGATGCATGCGCATGCCGCATTGAATAGCTTCGGTACGCTTGGAGGCAGCTAAACTGTACTCTAGAACAGCTGCCAAGGCAGCCATGGTTGTAAAATGGAGCTGGATCTTGCTGTGGTTGAGTCAGCGAGTGCAGGATTCGTAGTACAAGGACATGCTTTCAAGGTTCAACGTCCTTGTAATTCTCACCACGCCTAATGCATGCGAATTGAAATCTTAGGGGGGTTAGGTTGCATGAGCTCCATGTTTTCCGCACCATGTCGCATTTGGCCCATGCAGCTTGAGTTTTTCCATTGGCTCTTCTTGAAATGCTGCAGAGGAAGCCTGTGGGTGAGATTTCTCGCGCTGACGTCTTCGCTGCCGTCATGAAGAGCGCTGCAACTTGGCAGGGTCGGTCTCTGGGCCTCCTCCAGCTTTTGGCACATTGCCAATGTGAGCAGTCAAAACCGATCCAGATGTGGTCGATCCAGAGCCATGCTTCAAGAATTAAGGCGGATATCCGCAGCTATTTCTGGTTGAGATTGTCCCTTTCGAACCTTCTACCCGGGTTTTGACTGTGGCTCATGTGATGACGGCACACCGAGCCGCAGCGCTTTCCACAAACCTTTCAAGAGCAGCCATATCCGACCTAAAGGCATGCTGGGGCAGCACAAATTGTGCATTTGACCAAAGCGATGATGTTTTGCAGGGAATTTGTGGGATGAAGGCTCCATGTATGGCAGGCCGTTTTTGTTTTTGTTTTCTGTCATGAGGAGGTCCGGGCTCACCATCCTTTTTGGCGTGAGCGTGTCATGAAGAGCCCAAATAGGCTGAAAAAACAACCCCGCGCCTTTTCGTTATGCAAGGGGCCAGTGCCTTAACTTGTTTCACAGGCCAAAACCATTGTAAACCGATACATAGAGAGAGAAAAAAAAAAAAAAAAAAACGATACCCCAAGAAGCCATGAAGATGTTGTCGCAAACCAAGATTGCCACATCATGAATTTGCAGGGCCCAAACCGATACCCAAACGGATACCCAAACCGATACCCAACCGATACCCAACTCATTGGCCGCCATGCCGAATCCAATCAGCTGCCCTGCAGCCTTCCCTGGAGCTGCCAAAATGTACTTTGTGTACTACATTTGTACTGAAAAGTTGCGACTTCTGCAGTGGAGCTGCCAAAATGTACTTTGTATACTACACCATACTAGACTTACTTGCACTGAAAAGCTGCGACTTTCGAGCCGGAGCTGCCAAAGTGTACTGCGCATAGTGCTGAAAAGTTGCGACTTTCCAGCTGGAGCTGGGAGCTGGCAGAGTGTACTTCGCATACGACACTTGTACGGAACAGTCACGACTTTCGAGCCAGAGCTGCCAAAACACTGCAAACCGATGCAGAGGGAAAAACCGATGCTGACCGATACTAGGGCATAAGGATACAAGTGTTGTCCACGGGGTTGTTTTTTCAACCCGAGTGGCGTATTCTTTCCAATGAGCTTTTGTTCATTGGCCATTGCGAGGTTGCAATGGATCTTGACTACAAGCTCTCTCAGGCGTAGGCACGCCTCCGATATCTTCAGAGTGAAAGGGAGGCTCGCCTCGAAGCCCAAACCTGGAACCAGTCTGCGTCCTAGGTAGACTTGACATGTGACACTCATGAGCTTTAAGAGGGTTGCTTGTGTGGAGAGATTGACTCGGACATGTCTCGGGCAACATGCAGCAACAAACCGCGACAGGTTCGCTTGGTGGAGAGTGAGCCGCAGCTCCGGTCGGTAGCCTTTGCTTTACCTATCAATCGCGAATGATCGCTGGTAGCGCCAAAGATTTCAACACATTTGGGACCAGGTAGAAGGCAGGAGGCAGATCTTTGCCATCGAAAGCAATGCGATCATAGAAGGCAAAGCTTCAGTCGCTTAGCTCTAAGGGTTGCTCCCTCCCAGTCTTGCATGGTGGAGACACATGTTGTGCCGAACTTTGGGAGCAGCCATTCTTTGTAGGCTCATGATTGCGCACACCGGTTTTGATACGGCGATCAAAAAGGGAGATCAAGCGTGCAAGAGGCCTTTTGGCCAATATGCGGGTGACAAAACTCAGGGTATAGCTCAGGCATCAAAGCTGCCTTCTGACGCTAAGTGCAGTGCCAAACCATCATCAATTATTTTCCCCTTCAGTGCAATAGCGTGGGACACTGTAGAAGGCCAACGCAGAGGCACACCGCGTCCTTGGGTGCGTTGTTATCTTCTTTGTAAGATGTTCCCTTGTAACATGGCAAATGTGCAGAACATGTGGCAGTCCGTCAAGCCTTTCGTGAACCGAGTTGCATAGGCAGCCATCGTGAAGCCAAAGATTTGGAGGGTCCCTGATGGCATCCAAAACAAAGGCAGCATAAATCCTGACTTGTAGCGGCCTGAGGACCATGAAAACAAGGACGGTACAGTCGCTCTTCCAGCAGAACCAGGCAGGGGCCTTCGACTTGCCAGGCTCACTCGGTGCGCGGCTTCTGCAGCCATATCAGCTGGCAATGGCTGGAAACATGAGAGGAGTTTGACGACTTCGGCTTCACCAAGCAGACTTCGTTTAAGAATTGTTTTAAACCTGCGTAGACTAGTGACTAGTGATTGGCCCACCCCAGGAGTGCAAAAGCAGCATGGGTGCCACAACTACATTCACCACAGGGAGCAAATTCAATGTTCCCAAGGTTTGGACATGTGTTGCTTCTGTTTGGTTGCTGTGTTCGAAACACAGTGTCTTAGTTTAAGAGTGTCACAAATCTGTATATAGGGGTGCGTCTCAAGATTGAACCCTAAGGAAGTCGAAAGCAGTGAGGGAAACATGGGGCAGGCTTCGCTATGTTGGGGATCTTCCTTGTTTGGAGACTGGCATTGCTCGGAAATACAGATCTTCCCTTTGTGACTAGGTTGGTCTCAAACTGCAATCCGATTGCCACCAAGGGCTTCCTTTCGCGCGCCTCAAACAAGCGAGGGGCATCTTCCCGTCAGGTTGGCACTATTGGCGTGCTGGCGTTGGACTGCGAGGGTCGGGGAGTCTTCTTGGCTTCGGGAAAGGGAAGCCCACCCTGGGGGCAGCTGAAGCCAAAATGTTGGTGTTTGAGAACCGGCTTTGTGACCTTTGCTTGTACAACAGACGCCTTATGTTAAGGTTCCTTGGATGCAGGCTCCGGGTTTTTGAAGACGGCCATGTTCAAGGGACGCTGACACTTGTCAGCCTGGCCAAGTTCCCATTTGTTAGAGATCTTCCAATCTTTATGACAAGTATTCAAGTTCCACCTGGATGCAAACCAAGATCCCTGAACAATGCCTTCTGCTTGTCGCCAGGCCACGACTGTGCCATCCTCAAGGGTCTTATCACAGCCTGCCAGCAACGGCGGGAGTGGTGCGCCGATTTGACGCCACCGAGCGCGCCTTTGGTCAGTCAGAAGGGCGTGGGTTTAGGGGGTGTGATTCTGGATGATCCCTTGTGAGATGTGTGCGCGATCGCACCACTCCAAAACCAGAAGGGGCTGAACCCAGCACCGCTCGACATGGAACGCCGTGGCTTGTGCTGCCGCCTCAGCCTTTCTGCAAGCTTCTGGCTCAGAAGAGTCTGGGCTTTACCTGTCCTCGCAGAGGCAGGAAGTATCAGGCAGTTGTTTGATACGCCGGCTTGAGGGGGTCCTCATGCTTCCCCTCTTGGGTCTGAACATCAGCTTCTGGGGCCGTTTTAACATGACTTTCCTCTTGGGTTCATGTAAAAGAGGGCACAGGCGAAAGCTCCCCACCCCAAAGCTTGCCCCATAAAGTTTACTCGGTACCTGCGCTTCCTTTGACCTCCAATAGTGGAAATTGGAGCCCCCCAGACTGCAAGTGACCCCGAAGGTTTACCAAAGCGTTCGGCGACCAATTTGCGTGAGACTAGAGAAGATTGCGAAGTCCAGACAAGCGTTCTTCTTGGAAGTATCCGATGTATGGCCACTCAGACTATTGTCTCCTTAGTTGCCGTGGTGCGCTGCCAGTTTTGGAAATGGCTGCAGCTGTGGCTGAGGCCACAGATAGGCCGGGCTGAGCTCCATTTCCGCGTGCATATTTCAGATTCGGCACGAACTGCGCATGTGGGTGGCACCACGGCTGTGGCTGTGATCCCTGACTTGCTTCACTTGTGGGTCTCTTTTGGGGAAACGTTCTCAGAGCGGGGGGAGGTTTCTTGGACTGAGCGCCATTTCACTCATGTGAGGATTCCGGGCTTCTCAGTGGACGACTCTCCTTTAGCTTCGTGCAGCGAGCCATCCCCGTCGAAGGTTCCGAGCTTCCAATTTTTCCGGCTCAGTTGAATACTGGGGACTTCAACCAATCCTCTCCTTTTCACGGGCCACTTTTGGGTTGGATTGCATCAAGTTGAGCTTGTGAAAGCCCCTTTGCAGCCAAGAAGCCCCGTGTTCCGTGCGACCAGGGAGTGGCAAGATGTCACCCGGCTGTCGGAAGAACTCCGCTTGGCCGTGTGCGCCGGGCTTGGTGAAGGGCATGGCCCGTTCGCTGGCGTTCAGGACCTGGGGTCATGAACCGCAGCGTGTTTAATTGGTCATGAAAGAATATTCAAAGAGAGACTGGGGAAGGGGTGTGCCTGGGAGTTGTGCCTGAGGCAAATTCCAAGCAAAGCTTTGCGCGGACAGGCCACCGACATGTGATTGGCAGAGGGAGGGATAGCCTGGCAGCGGATATCCCGACAAATGTGTTGGACAGAGATTTGGAGCCGGCGGATGCGGTCATTGAGACATGGGTCTGGGGACGTGGGCTAACCACTTGGCTGCTTGCCACCACGCTTCGCACGTTGGTGAGAACATGACATCGTTGACCCATGAAACCCGCTTTGGGCAGCGACAACGCGTTCCAGTGATTCGTGGGGCGCACAGGACGAGCCCCAGATGAGCTTCATGGGCCAAGGTAACCTGTCCTAAAATTGGGGACCCTTTTGGGTGTTCAGATGCAAGCACAAAGGAACCAAGCATTCCATTCCCAGAGGCATTGGTTTCCCCGGCTTCAATATGTGGGGAATTATTAATCTAGGTTTAGTTGCCCCAAACTAGCGGATCCAAATGTTCCTCAACTCCAAAAGGATGTTGGAAAAACTGTTTCCTTTGAAACTGTCAACGGGCCCAACTCAATCGGCAAATCTCATATTCTGGGTTTTTCTCACAATCGGGGGGCAAACCCCACAAATTGGCTTTGTCCCTTTGGTTTGTCTTTATCATAAACCCTATAAGGGAACCAACTCCAACAAGACAGGGTCTCCAAAATGGGACTCCCCTATCAATCCAAGGGTTTACAAATCCTGAGTTCCCATCACCTTCAAGTTTTTTAATTGAACAACTTTAAGTGCGGGGGCGGGGGGGGGGGTCTCTGGCTTTGCTTGTCAGGGAGCCAGGGAACGCCCATGAACCATCCCTGTTCGTTTCCTGAATCAGGTCAATCCCCGACACCACTGGTGTGACAGCACTTTTCTGGGTTTAACCTGATTCAGCCAGATGTACCAGCGATTGTCTGAAAGACCCTCATGTTAACCCCGGATTAATCAGGGGTATCCCCTTGGAAGACAGGAATCCCCACCAAAACGGGAGCCCCTTTGTTGAGAATTCGTGGGTGTTGATCTTAGTCAGCTAGGTGTCCCACAAAATGCTGCGAGTGGATCCCCTCGGGTCGAAGCCTCGCCAGGGACGTTTTGGCGGCGGAGCGCGCGGCGGCGGCCCGGGACCGCCAGGCCGCCGCGGCGGACCGGGAGCAGGCGGAGCGCCTGGCGCGGAGACTCGGAGCCTCGGAGACTCGGAGACTCGGAGCCCCGGGAGCCGAAGACCGTTTTGGAGGAAACGTGGGGAGGCAGAAGTGTCCCCTCTCCTTTTTGGAGGCAAGGACAAGACTTCCTGCGAATCCAGATCGGTTGGAATCCAGTTGAACAACGACAGATTGCATCAAGGTTCCATGTCACATCGTCAGATCTCACGGGCATGCGTGGCTTATTCGAGCCCAGAAGTATCCGAGCATCTAGTGGGCGCTCCACAACATGCCGCAGTAAGACTTGTTGCCCGTAGATGTTCCTGCAACTACTGTTGTTGACGCATACAGGCGTGCTATCACAAGGATAGTGTTACTTCACAACTCCTGTTGCATCCCCAATGCCACCTCTGACCTGCAGATGGATGAGCTCTTGGTGCAACATCTGATGAAAATCGATGTTAAGACAGACCTTGGCCCAATGCCACCTTGGGCCCTAATATGCCACAAGCCCTTGCAAACTGGTGGGTTACCGGCACAGACCCACGGCAAGGTAACAGGCTTCAACGAGAGCTGCCTTTCAAGAGAGTGCAAACTGGCAGCAACTTCCCATCAGCACAAGGGCCCCAAAGTCAGTTTGGCCATCAGCACAGGGACAGCTAGCTTTCAAGAGGTCTTAACCAGAAGGTACGAGATAGAAACATTGTTTGATGTCCTCGTGTTATCTTTCTATTATCGCAGATTTCGATGCGGAGGGTATCCCACTCCTTACTCAGATGATATCCTGAATTTTGCGCTGCAGGTCCGAATAATCTCGTCAGCCGCAGACCGCTGCAGCGCATGGACAGGCGCCAAACTGAACACATTTCCATACAAGCTATCGCTTTGCGTGTGTATGGTTGTGAGCATGTCAACGTGTGTGTGTGTGTGTGTGCGGCCAGTTGTTGTGCCCATGTGTGTATGTGTGGTGTTGTGTACTTGCTTGCTTTTTGGTTGCTGTGCTTGCAGTTTCTTTTGTTTCTTTGTGCGTGCTAATTTCTGGCAGCATACTGCTTAAAGCACACGAGTGTCAGTGTGCCTTGCACGGTGCTTGGAGCATGTGTATCCGACAGGCGCAGCCAAGGACGACGCAGCCTCAGCGATGGGTTGATCGGTAGTTGGCTGAGTTACTAAGAGAGCTCCCTCAATGACTCAAAGGATGATCAACAATTGTAGGCGTCTACCTGGTGTGTCTTAATGAATGTAGCTGGCTCTCAGACCACCTCAACGTGCTCCGTGTGGTGTTGAAATCTAAAACCTGGGAATACCGTCGCAAACACAGGATGTTTGTGGGTATCAAGTAGCTATTATGTTCAATGTGCTGAGACGCCAGGGGCTTTGGGAGCAAAGAATCAACCTGGGGGGGGGCTTCAACGTCGATCCAAATACGTGAATGTAATTGCATTTATGCTTCTCAAACATGTGCCTCTCTTCAAGAAAGCGACTGGTGGGATATGTCGGATATGCGTTCAAACGGTAATTTCCCAATGATGCAAGGGTTGGTTTGGCCATAAGTCGAGCGCCTGCAAGGCGACCAGCTCAGCGAGCAAGCCGGAGCCCGAGAGACGCGCGTGGCGCTGGGTTTTACACCGGTTTGGAGCCATGGCTCAGAGGGTCACGGGGTTGGGATGAGTTACCTCTAGATGAACTGAAGCACGCAAGACTTTGGGATGAGCTACATCCATGGAGCTCCACCATTCGAAGCAAATGGCATTCCCAAAATGAGAAAGATGCTTGGGGGAATCGCACAACACATTTGCCTCAAGATCCCCATGATCAGGCCCCTGGTCATTGCATGCTGTGCCGGTCTCCGTACAACTGGGCTTCCCCTTCGGGCCCAAGTATCATTTAACATGATTCAATATCACAAATTATGTTTGAACACCAGAAGGCAAGCTTGACAGTTTTGGATCTTGCAAACCGTTGCTTGAAAAATGTGGGGTCATTCTTGGTCCGAATTTTATTTGGATGTACAGACACCCTTCATTTGACAAAGTTGAGGCATGGGTGGATTGTTTGGGTCCGGTAATGCAACTCGTGTTGTGTTCAGGGAGCTTTGTTTGAACCAGAACTTGATTGCTATGTATATTATATACACATATAGTTCATGCAACATTTCACCGTGATGTGTAAGTGTGCTCTAGAGTCTACGACTTGCTGCGTTGTGATGGGACTTTGCGGGCATGGAAACAAGGTAATGTACCGCTCGTTGCTGTTCCCTATGCTGCTGAACTTCGTGGTTCCACTCAGCGCTTATTCCCATTTCAAACCTACCCACGTGCTTGAAGTGAGATCTCCAAGAGGCATTTTGGGCAAGAATCGCATTCAGCTCACGCAAAGCTTAAATGGGTTGGGTCACCTAAGAGGGGCGGCCTTTCTGAATCCGTCGTCAGGCCGAGTCCCAGCAGTGCTCGCTACTTAGAGACCATTGCTGGCGTTGTGTCGTTTTCAGCACGCGGATGCCACTGCGCCATCGTAGGCTGGTGAAAAAATACTTGCAGTAAAGGTTTAGGTTGTTCCTTTTGGCCTGGGCATTATGTCGCAATGTGGAGTTGCATCCAAGGCGAAAGGCATCATTGTCAAGCAGCCTCCTCAACGGCCGCAGCAGAACCTGGCTTAGTTCTACAGCATGTTTTTGGAAGAAACATGTTCTCCGTGGTGTGCGTGTGGTCTCGTTGTTTCTCCGCTCTTCAGCATCCGCTATGTGTGTGTGGCTTTCTTGTTGGCTTCCTAATGTTCTGCTTTTGTTTGTGGATAGCATAATTGAGGGGCGGTCCTGGCAGTGATGTGCGCGAAGGGTTGTTACTTTAATTTTATATACCCTCTCACCAACTAACATAGAAGTGCACAACATTATTTCCATCAGGAAAGTCAGATGGCATCGCATTGTGCTGCCCTGCTGTGTTGAATGTGGTGACCAAAGATGTCAGCGGACAGGTGTCAGAACAACATATTATTCAGATGTCTCGTGCTTTGTGATACTGGCATGTTTTACCACAAGCTAGCTTGGCTTGATAAGTTGCATCCAGCCATACCACTCCCGGTCCCAGTTGCTTGCGGTGACATGGTGGGCATTGCCGTTCAAAAGCAAGAGGGTAAGTATGCATCTTGGAGGAGGTAGATACTCGAGGCTATACGATAGAAGTGACTGTCACACAGGCGAACACTGGATTTGTGGATCCGATAAATTGACTTGGTTCGCTTTTGGCAAGCACACGACTGTGAACCCGGGCTTATTTCAAGACTGTTTCTTCGCGTACATGTGCCATGCCGTCGTGTTGGAGTTTCGCCAAAGCTTCGCGGAAGAGTTTGGTCCGCGGAATAGATGCCGGCGAATGCTTTCGATTTCCTTGCTCTGTAATCAGCAGCTGCAAACCTTGCCGGCCTGCGAGCACAGCCCACCAACACCAGCACCACCAGCACCACCAGCAACAACAACAACAACAACAACAACAACAACAACAACAACAACAACAGCAGAAAGAAGCAATCAACCAACCAAACAAACCAAATCAACCAGCCAGCCAGCCAGCCAGCCAGCCAGCCAACCAACCAACCAACCAACCAACCAACCAACCAACCAACCAACCAACCAACCAACCAACCGGCACCACAGAAAATGATCAACAACAAGCGCAGTGGATGCTTTGCCAGCATATCAGCACGTTCAACGTTTACTCATTTGCCCAAAGCCGACAATTTGACCTTGTGATTTCTCTCCTCTTTTCCCATTTTAGTCAAAGCCCCAAACGGTGAGCGGCTAACCTCTTATTTCTGTGTCCTTTGGGCAGCCGAGTTTAGTGTTTCGCCCTGGAGACCTGAGGGCTGGCTTGAAATTCTCAGCAAGTTTGTGAGACCTGCAAGCCTGAGACCATCTGAGACCTGTGTACCTTGCACTCTGCGGCGTTGAGCTTCAGTCTCAGGCTTGCAGCTGCCCCGCGGCCACCTAAGTGCTTGTGTCCATCTCATGAACAAATGGTCGAGAGATTTCACACACGATTCCTTAATTAAATCAATCCCTTCTGGCCTCCATAGGCTTGAAATGCCAGTTCTTGGTCGAGGGTGCTTGCTTTGCAGGCTGTGGCTGGTGATTTGGAGTTGCTGATTGCGGTTGTTGGCGCTTGTCCTTAAAGTTGTCCTTGATTTGTTTTCAGCACAGTGCATGAAGGAGCTCTTTGGTTGAACATGCACAGGCCGGGTACTCTCTGTTCGCAGCCATTTGCCCCGTGTTTGCATAGGGACTCGTTGCCTCAACAGTCAGGCTGAGCATGTCAGCTTCTGGAAGAGGTAGTCTGTACTTTTTGGCATGTTGTTCATGAAGACAAGCTTGGTTGTTTATTGCCAATTCGGTAGATATAGACCCATCACGGAATACATGTATACCCATACACTTGCCCTTGCGGGCTGTAAACACGTTTGCAGTGCATACCATGATCACTCCTCGAAGCAGCGGGGTTGTTCAAAATTCAGCTTTAATTAATCCAGACAGTATGCCAGATGGTATGGGTTTTCCCTGTTGCAGTGGTTTGCGACTATCACTACGGGAGTACTTGTGAGTAAGGTAAGGATCCCCCCCAAGTTAAGCAACCAAGTTTTGGTAGATGAAAGGGAAACCAAGGGGAAACTACCCATTTTGGGGGTTCAACCATTGTGAACCCAGTCAAGAAAGTGCCCTCGGGCGCTGCAAGGCCGGCGATCAATGGAACTCCCGCGCCGATGCCCACTCGCAGCCCGCCGGCCGCAAGAAGCACACCAGGCTGGGGCCAACACACACACACACACAGACTATAGGCCTTTCCTCGGCGTGTAAGTCTCTGGAGATCCGGAGTCAGTTGTTATATGTTTTGTATTGTCATTGACACTTCCACGTGCCAGGCCCACGAGTCAAGGCACCACCAGCATCTGTGCGACGCAGCGAGCCGCGCAGCGAGCCGCTCAGCGAGCCCCGCAGCGAGCCCCGCAGCGAGCCCCGCAGTGAGCCCCGCAGTGAGCCACGCAGCGAGCCACGCAGCGAGCCGCGCAGCGAGCCGCGGGCACAGGCGGGCACAGATGGTTCTCGTGGACAGATGTGGATCCTGAGAATCCGCCAACATGATCACAAAGCAAAGCCAAGCAGCAAATTACAGGACCCTGTTGTCGCACATCCTGCATGACTCAGAACGGCATTTTATCCTGAAGTTATTACTCTCCAGGTCCACTCGTCCCGCAGCATTGCAGAGCTGTAAGATTGGCCGAGTTGCTGATATTTGCATCATGTTGGGTAAGCGGTTCAGACAAGCGTGATATTTGAAGAGGCTGTGCTAAAGCACACCAAGGGTTCCGTATATTTACAGTATAACACCAGTAGCTTTGCGTCACATCGCCAGAAGCTGCAGGAACATGGAATGTGCCCCCTATACCTTGGTCGCAAAGAGATCATGCTTCCTTCAAGGTCATGGACGCTGAAAGAAAGGTATGTTACGCAAATCTCCACTTCAACCAGATTCCTCTCCATTTCCGTGATTGTTGGAGCAAGGCTAAAGCAAACCCGGTTGCAACAAACAGCAGACTGCGAGGCATGAGCTTAGCCAACCGGCCTGCAATTCGGGTTCTTGCATTTAACAGTGCTAACGTACAATATGCTGGGTTGAGATTCGAGTATATACGCGGAAATGAACCTTTCATGATCGGGTGGTGTGTCTCGGGCCCCGAGCATAAAATTGTATTCACAGTACCGGCCTCCGTGGCGTCGGGTGTGCCGTTGGTGCACTGATCGACCAAAACAATTGCTGTGGAAGAATTCCAAGCGCAGATCAGCTGGACAACCCATGATTTTAGTTTAGGCTGGGAGGAAATCCCTCGGTCATAAGTGCAATAGTCCCAAGAAAGGAGCTACATCTCAAAGTTTGTCCACGCCAGTTGGCGTGAAAGGTGCCAAGCGCGGAGCCAGCTTCTTCCGCTAGAGATCCGCCGGAGGCTGCTGCCCACACCTTAGAAGGAATGCAGCTTCAAGGGCAGACTTCGCAGAATTTGACCCCGCGTTGAGATGCGGCAATGTCCGGGCAACCAGCGGCTAACCAACTCTGTCGGGATCGTCGTCGAGCTTGGCTTCACAACTTCAGTCTTGAACACTTCTGTGGTTTAAATGCTCCTGGATGAGGACCCGTTGATCATTGCTGAACGTGGGCAAGTGTTGTTTACGTCTTCATACTCTTGGCCAAGGCACGATGACGCAGCATGGACTGTGTCAGGGTTTAGGACTCCTTTCGGAAGCTAGATTGTGCCATAATACCGCAAAGTACATCGGCTAGCCCAAATGTTAGCACTGCACTCATCAGTAACAAGTATATAAGACGGGGAACTGGAGTAGCTTCCTGTGCCGGAACTGGAGGTGCAACCAGAGGCCGCGCCAGAGTGTACCAGCCTCAGCGAGCCCCAGGAGCAGGGAGCGGACAGGAGCAATTTCGAGCTGCGCACTCAATGACTCAAGCAGGTTCTGAGCGGTACATGGTGTCGGGAATCTAGAGCGCGGCTTGATTGGGAAATCCCAGGTGCACAAGCGGGCAGCTCAGAAACGCTACTTGCGGGGTCGTGCCCGGATCCACAACGTGTTGCCCCAAAAGCCACGCAAACAGTGTTTAACGCAGGTTGAACGCAAGCAGGTCTTTCATGCATTCGTGTGATACTTCCAATTCCTTGCCGATTGCACTGCTCAACCCAATGAATGCGGAGGAAACTCCGCTGTTTGCACCCCAAGACCTGCCCCTGTCGATGCAAAGACGTGTCCTGTTCAAGATTCAAGTCTTATTTACTATACGCCTAGATGCAGGAGCGCGCTTTCAAGTTCAAAGTGAGGCCGAGGGGATTTTGCGATTCCTTGGATGCACTTTTCGGGTTCGCTGGATCCCGTTGCTTCTTCAGCCTCATATGCGCGTATTTGAACAAGAGGGAATTTGGGATATTATGTTTTGCCACGGCATCCTGTCCCCAAGTAAGTGGGTTAAAAAACTATTCGTTATGTTTATTGCAGCAACTGTTGGGGCAACTGTCGTCTAGTTTGTTGTTTTTGATCCGCGGGGATGTTTGTTTGCATTTGTATGCGTTTGCTGTGTTTGTAGTGAATGAAAGTTCTTTCCCCCACCTTGGACCTCACAAAGCGTTGCTCTTGTTTTCCCCTGCGTCTAACATGACGTTTGGCGGCGCATGTTGAGGCTGAGAACGGACCTCTGATCAATGAGCTCAAGGACCAGAGGGATGGTCGCACAGCCAAGGTGAGGGATCCCTGACAGCTTCAAGGAAGGGGTCATGCTCCTAAAGGATCGACATTCTATGCTATGCATGTATATTAATATGTCAGTGTGTGTTTGCATGCAATATTGCGACTCTACCTTAGCTCGGGTCTTTTCAGGTTCCAGAAACTGGCTGGACATGGGAGCGACCAAGAGTCCCGAGTGCAGCCGCAGGAGTTGGCACCAGAGGCTCCCGCGCAGGTCCCGCCAAATAGGCGCCGGCGCGGCCAGCGCGGCGAGCGAGTGGCGAGGGATTTTCGCGGAGACGGGTCGAGACACTTGCGTTGACCCTCACAGGTTCCTTTGCCTACTGGAAACGTAGACTGGTGCCAGGTTTCCAGGCGAGCCTTTGGAGGGAGTGTATTCGGAAGCCAAGGGCGGCTTCCAATGCCTCCGGAAGCGATGGGGGAGTGTCCCAGAAACCTCAAGGGAAGTTGCCCAGGAGCTCAAGTGCTTCCTGCAGCGAAGCAGTCGAGGCGAAGGTGCCAGTCGAGGCGAGAGCGCTCGTTGGGTTTGCTTTGGCTCAGGGTCTCGGCCATGTTTCCCTTTGCCAACTGGGATTTGAAGGTCAACTTTCGAGCCGCACCCGCTTATTCTTTGAAACCGTCATTTGGCTGTCATTTTCTCTCCACTTTGGCGAAGAACAATTTGACACATTAGGTGATATTGACCTCACTCTCGGCGCTTTGCAAGGCTACAGAGCATCCGCCCAGCGAACACAAGGAGAACCCTGGCTGCAGCTTCGAAGCTCATTCGACAGTGAAGTATTTGGCGGTATTTAGCTCTTCGTTCATTTCGTGTTGTGAATTGGTTTATTCCGATATGCAAGTGGACAACATTTTGACGCGTTTCCCACAGCTCAAGGCGGTAGAATACTAAGGGAAATGTTTTATACCTTGGCCCCGGATACCATGTAGCCCCATTAGAGCAGTCCGACTGAGTTTTCCCGAGGCAGAGCGCTTCTGCAGTCCCACCCGCAGCAGCCTCACGGTGAAGGGCCATGTTTGTCTTCCAAACGCGGGAACGGCCAAATCCGCGGCTTCCCTGCTTCCCGCCGTGTCTTCTTAGAACATCCCCAACACAGGTACCCTCAAAAATCATACTGGGGCAGTTGTACATCCCCAGAACCAGTTTTTCCTCCATACCTAGCCAGTAAAGGCGAGGTAAGGCTGGCAGCCGGAGCTGTGGCCATGTCATGTTCTGTCCAGTTTTACCTCTTGGATGAATAGATGTGTCTTCCCTCGTACAAAGTGAAGCGTTCATCTAACTTGCCGTGTCTTTATGAGCATGAACAACTGTCTACATACCGCTTGTCACTCGCCATGCTTGTTGGCTCTTGCGACTGCTTTTCTATGCCCAGGCGTTCGAAACTTTGGACACTGACCCGGCAGATTTGGATGAGGATGAGGCGGCTAGCTGTGCCAAAGGTCTCAAGGGTACGTAGCGTTTTATGTTGGCTCCAGACGTTGTTGAAGTCCAGCAGTCTTGAGAGAGCACCATCCACGAATCCACGAAGAGAAGCCCGTAAAGAACAAGAAGTAAGGGCCTTGTTGCTGTTTGTTGGTCTTTGAAACCGTACGTTCGGTCCCATGCCAGTTAACCTGCTCTGTGCCACGTTGAAACATCACAAGGTGGACGAAGCCATATGGCGAATCTCAGCAATTCTGGCGCAATGGTGCAAGCGCCAACCATATGGCTAATCTCAACAGTTTTGACGCATGTTGCAAGTGTTACAACTCGGGTGCAAGAGTCTATTTGTCAACCTCACCCTCAGGACCAAATGGATGAGCTGGAAATTTGGGCAGTGAATGCCCCTGGCCCGCCAGACCAGGCGCAGTGGTTTGATCAGGGCCTAGGGTCAGAGATTTGGAGTGGCAGACAGCCACTTTGAAGTCGGTGAGATGTTGAGCCGATGTAACTTGCACCTGCCATTGCCTACCCATTGGTGGATTCCACTGACTAATATCTCAGGCTTGGACTTGCTGACCTTGTTATGTGCCAGTAGGAGGTACATTCTGCGACCTCGAGCAGTATAGCTTGTCAGCACGAGTGGTTGAAGCTGTGGACGATTGGAGTTTGTTTTTCAGTTGAGGTACGAGAACGAGCGGCCTCTCCCATGTCCAGCCATCAGGGTTTCAGATACCAAACATCCGGTGCCAAATGCGACTTAGCTCCCTGAAGGTGTCGGGTGGTCCGCCGTTTTGGAGATGAGATCCAGCAAGAAACCACCTCATTCCAAGTACATACCGCTTGTTCATATACCCTTGCTTTTTGCCAGTCCAACTGATACTGAGTCTTGATAGAAGGGGCACGTGTAAGCACTCCTAGAAATTGGAACTCCAGCTTGCGGCGAGCGGCCTTGCGAGGCATATCCCACCGAGGCGCAGCACTTCCGGGTTGCTGCACCCAGCGGGTTGGTGGCGTGCGAGGGCGAGCCTGCCTTTCGGGCATCGAACTATGATCTGCGGACAAGTTGTGTTTCTCCCCTATTTTTCCCCGAATGGCGTGGCTACCTTGCGGCAGCGCAAGTGGGTGGGAGACGAAGGTGTTCATCATGTTTGGGTCCTCCTGTGATGGGCTGGATGTGAAGTATTGCATGCGCAAGCATGTAGCATGCCTGCTGCCAGTCAATTTCACTGCCGATGGTCGTTTGTTTCAAAGACTGGCTGCCAAATTTACATGCCCGAAATGACTGTCAATTTCTCCTAATGGCCTTGTGGCAATGGATACGCTCTCATTTGATTGGACCTTTCATCCTGAGTAGAAGTATGGTTGGCAAAAGTCCCTTGCCACTGGATGCGCCGAGAGAGCGCAGAGCACGTCCGATGGCGATTCAGGTGATGGCACCACCTAGAGCAGATCCCTTGCCCAGCGCCGATCCTTTCCCGCCCTTCGAGGAGTCTGCGTGGGGGCCCCTGGTCAGCGCTGCAGCGAGAGGGGAGGGGAAGGATCCTTTCTTTATGGCGCTATCATGCGCTATTGACCAATCAGCAGGGTATTAATCCTGGGCTTCCATCACTAGCATCTTCCTTTTGAAGGGACCCGCTGGACCAGCTGTCAGATTCCATGTTCGTGGATGAGAGAGTCAGACTGAAAGCCCCCACCCGGGCAGCAACGTCATTGAGATTGAAATGAAGTAAACGGGTCGTCTCATCAAGACACGCGGAATGGCGGGTATGTTGGTCATACTGTTGCCTATGCGTATGCGGGCATCAAGATTGCAGAGGTCTAGTCATTCATGTTCGGGTTGCAGAGGACGAAGAGTGGTGCTGTAATTCCCCAGATCAGGAACGATGACATCATTTCTCACCCCAAGCTCATGGTTTTCACCATCATATGATTCGCCGATCACATTGCTGGTACGGGCGTTGATTTCAGGCCTCCACCAGAGGAGGAAAGAGAAGTTGCCAGTAGCTCAGGTTGCTGATGAGCGCATTGATGCCAGCCCAAAATGATGAGCACTCACACTGCAGCTATTGCAAGAAAACAGCCTGCCAGCATCACAGTCTTTTCTCCTTAGCATCCCAAGGCGTCTCCAAAAAAGATGAGTCAAGGGTCGTATTGGCTACGATATTAATCGCATTAGCAGTGACCAAACAAAGCCCCTTTTTTAATGCGGAAGTATTGGTTTGGTGGTTGAGTGGTTTAGGTGGTTTGGTAGTTGTGGAACCCGTTTAGACCTTGGCAGTAGAAGGCTACCTGAGTATCAGGCTCCCGCGGAAGAGGCGGAAGCCGAGCTGGATGCAGGTGCCAAAGCTTGATTGCCACAGCATTGCGAGATGGGGTGGACTTTCCGCAAATGGTGGGTTTGCCTTCGTTTTCAGAGAACAAAGCAGGTCCCCCGAAGGACAAGCAGCGCGTGCTGTGGACATGGGCGCCCGTTTCTGGACCCATCCGCCACAACTCCGCTTAGCCCACTAGGAGAGGCATCCAGGGTGCCCGTGAAGGCGGGGTGAGGGTAGGGCTCGGGTGGCAGCTGTCAACCATGTTGACCCTTGAATCATGCTTGGCAAGAATGCTATTACATCAGAATCATGTTAAGTGACATATACAACGAATTGCCTGGCCGATTGACCCTTTAGAGAATTAGAGTGGCATGAGCTGCTCCGTGTGAGAGAGATACGTTATTCTGATCCATCGTTATGTGTTTCTTGGATACATGTGCCACCAGGTGCCAAGTACGATCATGTCCTATGAGCTACAAAAGAAACTCTCGAGGGCAAATGAGGCAGAATAGGTTGACTTATATTTGCTGCATTGTTCAAGCACACTCATCATCGTGTGGAGTTGGTTTGTGTGGTCTCAGGTGTCTCAGCCAAATGCAACTGATTCTACTTGCCAAACAAGTGCCTCAGGGATTATTCTCCCCAAATGCGCAGTTTAGTACACAGACTACTTGCATGGGGACATGACTGGAAGCGGGCCCATGACATCACGAGGCCCTCAAAAGAAGCTATCTCATGTTGGCTCGCTTGGGGCACATCAAACCCTCCTAGCAGAGTACTGTCTTTTTTTCCCCGCAGCCTGTTGCTAGCGGATCACAATGATCACACGAGCAACAAAGAAGTCATGCTTGTCAGCTCCTTGTACCGCTGAGTCCGAAATAACTGGGGAACTGAAGTACCGGATTGCATATTGGAAACGGGTGGTGTATGCCCCAACTTGTTCACCTCAGCATCACCCTTTGATATCTTAGCCTCCCCAAAGAAGCTATGCAACCTGAAACAGAGGTTGCTCGTACCGACCAAAGAAAGCTATGGTCTTGCTGGGTCTCCAGTCAGGTGTTTGGTTCGAAGCGGCCAGGCGATGCCCAGCAACGGCCCCAGCTGGCCGGTGGGCAAAGCTGCTGCCAGCAGGCCGGCGGGCCTTTGGGGACGGGCAAGGGATGCGGCCTGATGACTCATATCCAAATCTAATTAAGCATAAGTAGGGTGCGTTAGGGTGCATTTATAAATGGGGGGGGAAGGAAATAGAAATACCAGGGGGAAAGAAGAACAATACATAGCTGGTGTGTAGGTGGTAGCATGATTTTCCTGCGCAGGTTGGTAGCTGGTTCTCGGTGTAGTCTACTGTTGAACCTTGATCCAGGCAGGCGTTCATTCTGGAAGAAGGACATGTGGGTTGGTGGCAAGAAGGCTCGATTGAAGAAAGCTTGCTTCAGGTCACACTTTGCACATTTGGTTCTTTGTGTACGCATGGGTAAGACACTGTTTGGAAAGTACACGAGAAGGGTTCTGACGTTTCAACATGCTTGAGTCTTCGTGGTTTCGGCTAGGGACCCAACTAGGGGTCAGCCAGAAGGCACATGCTTTTCCATCCTTTTGCACTTAGCCTCCCACTCATTAAAAGCTGACGATCGGAAAATGTGGCAATCACGCCTTCCTTTTGGGAGACTGTTCAACGTCCAGTCCCCATTGGAACGACGCCCCTTGGCCCTTGGGCGGGCGGCGCTCGATGCGCCGATGACATCATGTCGAACCGCAGGTTTAAGGCGCCGCCTGCGACTCTGAGCGCTGCGATTGACTCGGGCGTGCCCGCCTCAGTCGGAGTGATCTGGCACCTGGGAAATGGCTTGCTAATGATCTTGACTTGAAAATGTGCGTAAGAGTGTAGCTGCTTTCAATATATTTCTTTATGACCCTTGATATATCTTGAAACTGGATCGAAAGAGTATTAAACACCCCGTGTCCCCCTTGGGGTTGTTGTTTTGAGACAAGCGTAAACCCTTTGAGACGGCCATGCCCCGCCCTAAAGGCAGCCACGAACAAGCCGCCAGCGGCTTGCAGTAGGTTTCCCCATCACATGTTTGAACTAACGGAAAGGCTGCTCGTTATTCCTTCGTCGCCACAAATCATTTGCAAGTCTCAGATCGGGGTTGACCTTTTTGCCCTTCTTTCGATGAACATCCGTCTGTGCGATGGCAGGTGCATTTTGGAGGAGATTAGATGTGTAACACGTCTTTGTGACTGAGTTTTCAGCTAGCTTCTTGACTCCGTTACAAGCCTTCGAGGTGGTCGCTTGTTGCCCCAACATCAGAACCGCGCGGCAAGCCTTGTCTGTGATCAGGGGAAGGTTCTGTCTAGTGGAGGCTTCACGACTCGGCAAAGAAAATGAAGGCGTGGCTTGGGTGTGTGCCTTGCCTGGGCACCGCATTCATTCCCGCAACCCCCAGCTTGTTGGCTGATTGCTTGCTTGCTGGCTTGCTGGCTTGCTGGCTTGCTGGCTGGCTGTGCTTGCTTGAGTTGGTGGTCGTCGCTGTTCTCGCTTGCACCCAGTGAAGATCAATATTTGGCCCAGGCCAGCAGCTCCGACACTAGAAGGCCTGGGAGATATCACGTGGCACCGACAATCCAGGGTTGCTCAAAATCGTGTTCTTAGGGACGGAGGAGTGGATTATCCATAAAACCCTTGCGAGACCCATCCAAATATCGGGCATAGATGTTATAGCGACCTCAACACTGTTTTTCATGGAATAGAGCAGGGCGAGATGCCTTGCAAGACGTTTTCGATTGAAACACTGAACTGACGGATGGGCTCATCGCAGGGATGGGAGCGATGGCGGGCAAGTGTGGGCCTCAGACAGTGTAAGCCAGGCCCGTCAGCCCCCCTGCCAGGGCCGGGGAAGGGTTGCATATGGAGGCATGCCACACACAAGATGCCGTCGCAGAATGGAAGTGGGGGGGGTGGGGGTGGGAGTGGTTCTGCTGTTGTTGTTGCCTTTGTTTGCTTCGTTGGGACCCAGTCTCACACTGGCAGGTCCCTCCAACCCTCGGACACCTCCCTCGCACTGTTCTGGAATTGAACACGAGATGGAGGACCACGGTGCCGAAGTGTTTTGATGTTTTCGCGCATCGAAGTTCATCTCCTGGTATGTACAAGTACACATTGTTTTGTTTGCTAAGTAGATGCGTATGTGGCAGGTGGGTGGGTGGGTGGGTGGGTGGGTGGGTGGGTGGGTGGGTGGGTGGGTGGGTGGGTGGGTGGGTGGGTGGGTGGGTGGGTGGGTGGGTGGGTGGGTGCGTATCTGCCACGCTCGTCAAAAACTGCAAGAGGCAACAAACAAGAGGGCATGACAAGAATAACACGTGTCAACATTCGAGAGCTAAGCCATGCCAGCGAGGTTCCGAGCAGCTTCGCAGAGGCCACCTAAGTACCAGCAGTCGGCGCCATGTGGGCTGGAAACGCAAAGTAGATCTGTCAAAAGGGACGGGAGGTTGTCAATCAACTTTGACCTGCTTGGAGAAGTGTGCTTTAGCCCAAGGTTTGACCTTGCTGGAGAGTGTACACTTAGTGAAGCCAGATTGCAATGCATGATGACGATTCGAAATGCTTCCGCAGGCTTCTTCTGCCACGGCATCCAGTGTGAAGGCCTGGCTTGCTTTGAGCAGTGCATGTTGGCATGATGGGGGGGGTTCTTCTTTATTTGTGTTGGCACGATTCTGTTCTGGAGCATCGTCGCATGTTGTTCCACCAGCTCTCAGGCACCGCCGGCTCATAGAAGTGCGAGCTGAGGCGAGAGCAGTTCCATCCAAGCTGGTGAAGCATGTCCGATTTGATAAAATGTCAAGCGATCCTTTGGACTTCACTAGGGGATCTTTTGCGACCGACTGTGTTTGAAGATGTTCCCATTAGCATTTATTGCTACTTTGTGTTGAGGATCCAATAAGCATGGCATTTTGATGACCGGTTGAAATCATCTGAGTTGATGAGTCGATGCCTGGCGATTGTCAATAAACTCGTGGGGGCTGACATGGAGGAATTCCCCCCACATGTTGTGTGAACATTCCGCTTCTGGTATAGGGCGAGCCAGGATGGCCAGTCTCGGGCGGCGCAACACAAGTAAAATGAGCCCGACTAGCAGAAAGCGGATTTCCAAGCTGGGATATCCACGATGGAAGTGTGAGACGCACTGCAAGGAGTCCTCGGCAGTGGTGAGCTGTCGTCCCTGGCATGGAATGGAGCGGCAAAACAAGTCTCAAGGCTCGCTAGTAAACTGTTGTGCTACGGTTTTCCAAACTCAAAGTCATGCAGGAGAGTTTGTCTTTAGGTCCAAGATGTCCGATTTTTCAAGTTCTTGTTTGCTTCATATTGGAACCCCCCCCAACAGAGACGCCTGGCCCAACCAAGCAAATCCATTTGCGCGGTTTTGGGCGCACGTGCTTTGGTTTTCCCGGGACTCTCCGAAGCGCTGGGCTTTGCTTCTCAAAGGCCGACGCGGACATTGCCTGAGCCCGGGAATCAGTTCAAGGGCCGAGCAGCGGCTTGACGCGGCACCTGCCATGGCAGGAGATAGATCTAGGAAGGGCAAATGTGTCGTGCTGAGCATGTCTTCAAGATGTTCGTCACACAATTGCTGTTCAGACTTCAATACAGCCTGCTACAGCATTTAGACATGACGTGTCAACATGTCAACATGCAGCTTTGAGCCATGAGGCATGATGGACGGAAGCAAGCCCGTAGATGACGCCGCGCTCGCCAGCACGGAAACAAAACCACATGTGCACTGGAGCAGCTGTGTAAGTGAGAGTCCCTTCTCTCACATCCAGATGAGAGGTCCCCCACATCTGGCGTGATATGGATCTCCAACGGCGCAGTTATCGGTGTGACCTGTGTGCGAGTGTCGGTGATCGCACTTTGCACAGCTGGAAGCCAATTGTCCATCACATGTTGATTGCATTTGGGTATGTCATGGCGTGTTTCGCAGTGTGGATATGATGTTTTGGGATGATTTATATAAAGGGTGTCGATGCCCTGCATGTGGCGTTTTGCATGGAATGCTGATGCCTCGTGCAGGTATCCTCAATGGATCCTGTTTGAAACCAATGGCCTGAACGATGAGCACTTCGGGCATGGTACGGAAAGGCCAGCCTTTACCGATGTGAGTCTGCATGCTAACTGCTTTTTCTGCGGCGCATAATCAAAGGACATTTAGAAGGAACTTCCATGATATGGCAACTATTGAAAGCGAGCTTTCTGAGACACGCGGATCGATGGATGGATAGATAAATAGATGGATAGATACATAAATAAGTACAGAGACAGCGAGAGCTTAGATAGATAATTAGGTCGGTAGATAGACGGATAGATAGATACATGGCTAGAGGAATGGAGAGCTGGATACTTACATTACAGTTAGATCGATATATGATACATAAAGATATTGAGAACTAGGTAGGTTGATAGAGTGAAACATGTGAGCCGAGATAGATATTAAGATGAATAGAAGGCCAGAGAGAGAGAGAGAGAGAGAGAGAGAGAGAGAGAGAGCGAGATACATCAAATAGGTTGGATGGATTAGGTAGATGGCTAGCTAGCTAGCTAGCTAGCTTGCTAAATAGATAGATACATAGTTAAGTAGGTAGACGGATCTCCCAGAAATATAAATAGTTAAGGGCGATCAATAGATCAGACAGATTAGGTGGATAGCTAGCTGGCTAGCTTGTGATCGATGCATAGATAAGATAGATCTGGCAAATGGATGGATAGATGGATAAGGTAGAGAGGGAGATAGTGGATGGACAGATAGATAAATCGGTAGATAACGCGGCAGATGGCTAGACGAGAGAGATTAGCTAGCTAGATAGGCATCTAGGTGGTGTGCGCGCACAGACGGATAGATCGATTGATAGATGCATAGATAGATCTATTAATCTAGTTGTTTGTTTGCCTGTTTGTCTACCTATAGAGTCTATAGATAGACAGACAGACACAGGCAGGCAGGCAGACAGACAGACAGACAGACAGACAGACAGACAGACAGACAGACAGACAGACAGACAGACAGACAGACAGACAGACACCCAGATAGATAGAGTGAATGAGCCGATATATATATATATAGATAGATAGGTAGACAGATAGATAGATGGATAGATAGATGGATGGACATATAGATAATATAGACATAGATAGATGGACACATCGATAGATAGGGTGAATGATTCGATAGAGAGAAGTCTGGAAGGATACATCGATATGTAGGTAAATCCATACATCTACAAGGATAGAGAGATAGATGCTTGGATAGCAGGTAGATAGATTATATAAATCATGAAAAGGTAGGTTGACAGAGAGAAGCATGTGAACGTAGATAGGAAGGTAGAGAGAGATAGGTAGATGGATGGATGGATGGATAGATAGAGACAAAGGAGCAGCAGAAAGTGAAAGGGAGATTCTTCATGCTGAAAAGAAGCACTAGACAAAGCCAGCGATGGAAATAATTGGTGCGAGCGCGCGCCCACCCGCGCCCGCCCGCGCCGCCGCATCTCGTAGGTAGATGGACAGTCAGATGGCTTGATTGGTTGAGGAATTGATAGATTTACAGGCAGATGGGCACGTGGCCAAAAATTGAGCTAGGTAGGCAGAGACTGTGTGTGTGTGTGTTTGTTTTGTTCTTCTTCTTTCTTTCTTTCTTTTTTGGTGGGGGGGGGGAGTTAGGGCTGCTCAGGGACTAGGAAATGGACTAGGATTGGGGGTTGGGTTTAGGGTCATCTAGGGCGAATCTAGGGACCAATCTACTTGTAACATTTTGTACGTGTCAACCAGCAATTGGGACTAAGGTTCCAAGACCATGGCATTTGCTAAGCCTCCTTGTTCTATGACTTGAATTTCTACATGTGCTGCTTTGTAGCCAACTGATCTACCCATACAACCATGGTAGGTGGCTTACAACCGGGGTTACTCACGAGATCTTGGGTCTCAGTTCCAACTGGAGACCGACGCAGGGCCACGGTGGAGGCTCTGGTGAAAGAGGGCTACGAACTCTTCTACGGTGGAGGGTATCATGATAGCCCCTGGGCCGCATGGCAACAAGCGCAGGTTGTTTTTGGCGGACGCAGTTGAGGGGCGTGTGCCTATCCCAGTCTGAGAAGTGCACAATGGTGTGTGTTTGTGTGTGCGTCGCACGTGTTGGGTCCGGATCAAGGGCGACAAGTTCAATGCATATCTATGGTGCATCCCCTGCGCAGCTGGCAAGCGTGACACCGTGCTCAAGCGCACGTGGTGACTGAAGGGCAAGTACCCAGACCTCGCTTGCCTCCTCTAGCAATGTGTTCAAAGGTTTCCCTTCAAAGGTTAACCAAAGGAAGCCCTTTTCGCCCGTGGCCACCGGAGGTCTGGGGGTAGCATATGGCCAGCTGCGGTGCAGTGGCGTTTCTTTGAGGGAGTTGACTCTGGTCAGAGGCATCCGAAGATCCACCGTTTATCTCAGATCGCCTTTGCCATAGCCTGGCTTGCCCAAGCGCTTGCGGCAGGCAAGCGACAGTGTCATGCAAAATGTCTCACGCCCGCATCAGGAGTTATGCAAAGGAACAAAATGACGCGCTGCAGGCTGTGGCATGAGAATTGAATTGCAGTTTGTAGGCCGCTCGCTCTTATCGTACTGGAATGTCATGTTCAGGATATCTAGGATTCTAAGACACACGCATAGAGTGGCTGGAGGATTGCTTGGTCCTTGACACAGGCTGTCAATCTGCGAGCGAAATCGGTTCATGAGAGGAGAGGCAGGTGACAGGTTCACGGTCAGTGGCATGTGGCATTACTCCTTGTCTTGCGACTTGCTACTGACTCTAAAGCAAGTTGGGCATGTCACGGCACGCCAAGGCATACTAAGGCGCATGCAAATTTCACATGGGCTCAGTATTGGCCTTACAGGAGCAGACCATCGTTCTTTCTGTCATGTGTATATCAGCGTTCTGGGAGTTCGGTGGAAGTCGAATGCACGACTGAAAGGATTGATTAATCTATACATGCCCTGTGAGTGCCACTGAGCCTGACCTGTCCTGCATCCTATTCGAGGTTTCAAAATGTGTGGATCCATTGACATGAGCAGACTACAATCCCAAGGGCATCTGAATACATCATGCCTGCAGCTCACGAAATAATGTCTTTCTTGCGTGAATGCGTTGCATAGCTTTATGTCGCTTGCGGCAAACTCTTATCGTATCATCCCGCCTTAAGCTGCGGTTTCCCTACGTGCTCTCCTTCAGCCGCGCCTTACTGCAATGGCGCGTGCAAGAAGATGAGCCAGGCTCGCAAGAAGCAGTGCGCAGGAAAGCAAGCGGCAGGTGGAAAGGCTCCCAAGCAGTGGGGAATTTGATTTTCTTTTGCTGTTGCCATATCACCTGGGAACTCCTGGGGGTAAATCAAGGGAGATCAGTTTGGAAAGTTTTTTTTGGTGCAGGATGCTGCTGTATTTTGTTATGCTGCGATGCGGTGGCGTAGCAGCTTCTGCTGTGCCCCGTTCACTGTTGAGGTTTGGCTGGCCCGGTAGCGGCTCTTAGGGAAGCGAACTTGGCAAAACAGGGCCTACAGGCTTGGTGTACGCGCACAAAGCACAAAGCCTTTTTGCTTCAACGGGGACAGCCTCACTTGATCAACATGACCCCTGGAGTTTGGGGCAGACTTACAATGGCCACCTGCGTTTTGTTCAGAGGGTATTACACCCTTCTTTGCGGTGGGTACTGCAACTCTTTGCCAACGCGCCCCTCTAAACCTTGAGCCCAGGCCAGGATGCACATTTCGCTTTTTGATTTAGGAGGTGCACGAAAGCTTGGTTCTTGAGGTTTGGGAAGACACCCGCCCCTTTGCCTTCCCTTGTTTTCTCAACCCTGGTGGCATTTGCTGCTTGCCTTGGTGTCAGTTCGGTTTCTTCAGCTCTTGCCTTGTTTTGCTCGTGCCCAGACTCAGAGCATCGTCAATGAAGTGCTGGCAAAGAAGCCGAAGCGGCGGGTGGAATGGGCGAGCCCCAGCCGATATGCATCATGCCAATATCATGCCAATATCATGCCAATATCATGCCAATATCATGCCAATATCATGCCAATATCATGCCAATATCATGCCAATATCATGCCAATATCATGCCAATATCATGCCAATATCATGCCAATATCATGCCAATATCATGCCAGTATCATGCCAGTATCATGCCAATATCATGCCAATATCATGCCAATATCATGCCAATATCATGCCAATATCATGCCAATATCATGCCACTATCATGCCAATATCATGCCATTCATGCCGCACGCGAAAGCCAAAAACACAGTTCGGAGCAGCTGCAAGCCTCAGACTTTGAGACCATGCCGTCAGAAGAAACTCTTGTGACATGTGGCATGCCGCAGCTTTCATTCGCCCATGAACGGGTTGCTACCGTTACTTGCAGCGGGCGGAGAAGGCCATGCATTCCCATTGCAAGACAGGCGCGAAACGTCCTTAGCTGTAGGTTTCAACCTAGTTTCAACATACAGAGAGGCAACAGAAGCCGGTGCCCCAGCTGTGACACACACGCACGCCAGCATTTGTTTGCTGGGGATGGATTTGCAGCGCAATCCATTTGTCCAAGCCAAACAACAGCCACGGTCTCAGCATTTTGCCTTGCTGGATCCGCGTGCGCAACGATTTGAGCCGTTGACAACCTCACCACTTCCAGTCATTGTGAATGCGATGCAGAACAGAAACAAGTTCCTTTTGTCCAAGGGCGGTGGTGCACAAGAATTATTGCGGCGTATGTTGGCAAGCTTGAACGTGCACGAAGGCTCGACCATGGTGAAGTTCAAGGGCAGGAAATGTGGCTGCGCCTGGCCAGAGCGATCATGATGAGTGATGTTCATCTCACACGCTTTCGTGGCTGTCTTGTTGTTCTTGTCGTGGTTTGTTCTTGACGGTTTGATTTTGTGCATGTCAACACTCATGCCGAGTATGATTTGCCTGTGAGTGCACCTCACTCTTCAAGTGTGCGTATCTGCCTGGACTTGGGTGAATGAAATGGTTAATTGTCCTGGGTGTCAAGCAGGGCATCGGGATGTGCCTTCTCTCTTGCAACAACTTTGTGACATCGTTTGTGCTTGTGTTGATGTTGTTGGTGCTATTGGTCTTAATGTGTTGCTGCTCTTGGTGTTGCTTTTGCTGCTCAGGCCTTCCACGAGGTCAAGAGGCAGCAATGCTGACATTGCTGCTCATGAGCCTGCTTTCATTGTGGAGACTGTGGAGGACTTGGGGGGTTAGGAGGATTTTGCGACACATATGTGTGGCAGCCAGAGGGTGGCAAAGAGAGATGCCTTCAACTGCAGCGCTTTGAATCCTGCAGCTTTTGCAGAAAATAACTTTGCAACATAAACAAAGCCACCGTTTGATATGGCAAGAATATGTGAGCAGCTATCTCTACGTCTGTGTCGTGACTAAAAGACCAAATTGTCGTCGCTTGACATATGTTATGTTTATCCGCTTGTCAAAGCCAGCAACATTTGTTGAATATCATACAAGATGCTACTTGCGATGTTCATGTGGCATGTGTTTTCGTCTGTGTTTCTATTTTTCCAACGGTTTGCTTATGTGCTTATGTATTTGCAGTCTTTATTTTATGTTTTTTATTGTTTACTTGCTTGTCAAGATTCGTATGTATTTGTTTAGGTATGCTTGTTCTTTTTAAGGTTTCTTTTTAAGGCCTGCCGCCCAGTGCTGACTACTCCACCAACGGCCCCACGCTGCAAGCGAATCGATGTTTGCTCAAGATGCCAAGCAGCAAAGGGTGCCTAGCGTAACTTTATCCGGTATACACTAAAGACCAGAATGCGGCAGAATCCCCAGCATCACCACTCCACCAGACAGGGCTCAAGCCTCGAAGGCGCCAAAAACCGATCCCTCAAATGCTTAAGGACGGGCAGGTATTGGGCCAAATGTGCTTCAAAAGGAGCCCAACGATTCTCCAAATCCCATATGCAATGAAGCTAGGAATGCAGCAGCGACATCCCCAGCACCAGCAGGCCAGGATGATGACGCCCAAGCAATACCAAAGCAACAGCAACATCGCCAGCATCACCACCGGCGCAGCTAAAAACTATTTTGAGGGGACCTTGCATTGCACATATAATGGTTATACTATTATATACATAATGATATATCATAACGTATGATGATTTAATGTTCAGTATAATGATGACTTGATTGCCACCCTTCTCATACGTGCGCGTTGCCCGCCTCGGCCAGCCGAGCGCGCAGCGTCTGTGGTTCCACTGCAAGCAGCGGAGCTGGTCAAGTGGCGATTCAAGCATGGACAGGTTCTGGCTTCCCAAGGCAAGGGCAAGGCGATGCACAGGACCAGGAGTGAGTCATGGAGCCAGCAGACAGCGGGCTGGGCTGGGCCTTGCTTGGGTTGGTTGGTGGAGGGCCTGGGCTGGGCGGGCTGGGATGAGGCTTGCTTGCGCAGATGGGCGCAGAGGACCCACCTTGGGACGTGCAGCAGGCTGAAAGGTCTGGTGAGCGTCGCGCCCGTGAAGCGCACGGACTGCAGCCAACAGTTCAAGCCCTCGCGCACCACCCTCGGTTTCCTTCAAGGGGTGAATATTGCCCTTCCCTTTGAAAAAAATATGCTGGTTGCTGGCTGGCTGGGCCTGAGGCAAGTTTCAGACACTGGGCTAGTCTCAGACACGTGAGTCTAGCCTCAGACATGCCAGGTTGAGTGTCTGACGTGTCCTTGCTTGGGTTGCTGGTTGGGCAAGTCTCAAACATTAGGCAGCTGGACTGCGCTGCTGGTTAGGGGGCTGGGCGGGCTGGGCTGGCCTTGCTTGGGTGGGTTGCTGGTTGAGGCTAGTCTCAGACACGTCAGACAGGCCTGGCCAGCAGGAGGTCATGATTCAAAAGCCCCCTTGCGGCCAGGCGAATTAGGCGAAATTAAGCTTAATTAGCCTTGCCACAATAATGACATTCCTACATATGAAATGAAGCAGGTCATTGTTCACGCTATGTGGAAGCACCGATTGGTGGCTCAACCAAGGCTCGAACATGAAAAGTGAAGCGTGCAACTGTTCCCATCAGAGCATGATGAGGGCTTCATGGCGCTTCACTTCAAAGCATTCACATTTGACGGACCATCCAAGCCCACTCAACATAGGACACATGAGTCATCCGGCAATAGCACGTAGTGTGACGACTGTGTCGGTCGGTTTTGCCTGGAGCGGCAAGCAAGCAGGCAGACATCCATTTGAATCGGGTGAAGATGCGGAAACAGTGCACCCACTTGGCATTTCCTAGTGATGTCTGAACAAGGTGTTGAAAAGCAAGCTGTACAGTTGTCTTGCTCTGGAACAACAGTTTCGTATCTCGGCTGTTTTGACTTTTAGCCTACATAGAGAATACCCTGTTGCGCGCAAACGAGCTTGACCGCTCCCAACGATTCGCATCATGTTGGGTCAACGGGGGGATTTGCCCCGCGCTTGAACTAGGACCCTTGCGTCGCATTCCTTCAAGGCATAGCTCCAGAGCTTCATCGGGGGAGGGGTGATTCAACACACAGACCTACCGAAGCATACATGAGTTATATCCTTTGAACTTTGACTCCCTTGCTACGCGCGCAGTTCCCCTGTATGTTACGGCACTTTTGTGGCAAACTTCATCCCGTGGGTGGATGCCTTTGAATTCCTCGCCTCAAGTTTACTGTAAATTACACGGGATTTGTGCATGAATTGAAAGCAAGCAGCTTCGGCATACCGTAGGTCGATTTGTTGGAAAATTGACTTGTTGGCCCAGGAGCAATGCGCACTCCGTGCTGGATGACGCTGCGCAGCCGGTGCGAAAATTTTCCTGGGTTGCGAAAGACGGAATCCCAGTCGAACTGGCTTTGGAAGAGGCCGAGGGGGCGGCTCGGAATGAAAAACGGTTGAAGAACGGCAACGCGACTGCGGCGAGGCGCCCTTTTGGCAGTTCGGGCACAAACGGTGATGGCACATGGGGAAAATATTTGTGCGACGGGGAGGTTTTCGCAATGTTGAGCACATGTATAGCTATCATGATGCGCGAGCCAAGGATGAGACTGATGAGGACGAGGATGAAGAGGAGCTGGAGGGCGAACTTCAGGAGGCAAAGGAACCTTCTGAGGCTAGGGGCACAGCGGCTGAGAAGTCTTATGGCTCCCTGTTTCCTCGAACTTGCAGACGGTCAAAGATGATGAAGCATCTACGTGGTTTGCTGTTGTCTGCCTCAAACGCTGTGAATGCTGGCATCAACCAGAAGTTAACCCTGCGTTTACATTGGCAGCATTGGGCCTTGCGCATTGCACGAGGCACGCCCAAAACACCCGGAGCGCCGAGCTGGCGCGGCCGGCAGCTCGCATGCCGAGGAAAAGACGGAGGGGGCGGACAAGCCGCGGCTTTGGCTGAAGACGGGCATGGACAGTTTTGCTGACTTCGAGAGAGGCAAAGAGTGGCAAACCTATGTATATGATGATATGATATGTGATATTTGGTGCTGAGTATGTATATGATGCATATTGATGTGCGATAGGGCCTAACCCCGACCACGTGGCAGCTAGCCCTGTTTTGCTCCCTCCTGTACACGACTCTGGATGAGACAGGATGCATTCTATTTTTGCAGCAGAGTCATCGTTCAAAGGAATTCCCTCTCTACGACAGCCTGCCTCATGCTGGATGTGACTGGGCCAATGGGAACCCTCTTAATGCATGCAACATCCTCATTCAGGGGTTGACAACCATGCTGCTGCGCGCAAAGCTAGCAACTAAGACTGTAAATTGCACAGCTTGCTGGTCTGATTGTCACTTGTGTTCATCCTTTTGACTAAGTCGACAGACTATGGACCCAACTAACAAGAAGGACTAGGCTACTAGATGTTGAGCATGATGTGAAGCAGCGCGTTGCTCTTTCAAAAAAGAAATCACATGAAAGGCAGATCGGGTTCTTTCTGCCTCAGCCATGTGCTCAGAATATGTTTCAGTCAGGAGCAAACTATGAGTGCAGTGTTCGGCTAAGTGTAGGGCATGCTTGAATCACACGATGATCCCACCGAGTTGCTCAGGTGCAACATGTTCACTCTTTGGGAGTATCCAAACGGAGCTCCGGAGTATGTGCGCTTGAACGTGGAGTCCTGGCGGCGACACTCTCATGGACGCTGTGTTAGCCTCAGTTCAAAAAAGCGGGCAGAAGGACTAAGTGCGTAGTGTGTACTTCTGACAAGAAGGCAACCGGCACGGGCTTTGAGGTGGCGAGCCGATCTTCCTGTCGGATGCGAACATTCGAAAATATATCCCTGACCTACCGCAGGAGCCGAGCCGATGCTCGTGTTTGGTAGCGTTGTAACTGGGCCAGGTGCTGAATTGCTGCCTTTTGAGCTACAGCAGATCGTCCCGGTTTGGTGGTGTGTTGTTTTGGCAGATCTCACATATCCGCTTATTTCCCATGTGACTGTGTGCTCGTTGGCATGAAAGGCAGGCAGTCTGTTCAAGTTGATCTGATTGCCGACATTCTTTGCAGGATTCTCGACGAGTCATGGTGAGAAGTTGACAAGGTCAAACAAGTGTTTGCGTGAGACAGTTGAAGGTCCTTGCCCCACTTCAGCAGTCTTGTTCCAGGATTACTTCCAGTCATCCAATTCGGACAGTGCCACGCCTTGCCTTGTGTGCCAGGAGTACTTCAAGCTTCCATACCAAGCTTGCAAATCGGATGTGGTGCTCCTGGCCCGTTTCAAACCGGCACATGTTTGGCGCTGAGATTCTGAGATCGGCGGATAGCGTTGTCAGGTGCGCTATGCAGTCATTTACCACAATGGGGGCATCTACATGGATACGGATTTTCTAGTACAAGAGGACGCGGGTGAAAAGGATGTGACTGAAGCAGGTCAATAAAACTCGCTGGTGAAGGTAAGGATGCACTTTGGCAAACTGAAGGTTCCTTTGTCCGACACGACAGGCTGACTCAGAGAGAATTGCATGCCAGAAGCGACATAGCTGGTGGAAGCCACACGTGTCCACAAGCATGTACAGGCATGATGCTCCGTTCCCTTTTGGCGGGATTGCCATTCAAAGTACAAAGGGAGCACCGCATCATATCCCGGAAGCGCCATATCTATACCTGCAGAACTCATGCAGCCAGTCAGCAACATCAATGCGACAACTTTGTTTTGAAGTACGCAGTCACCCTGACTATTGTGATTCCTGCTTCTTTTAATAACAAGCATCAAAAGGAGGGTTGCAATGCCATGGCAGTGGACATGTGGGCACCGGATGGCACCGGAGAGCAGTCTACAAAATGGTCGCCAGGGCTTAGGCACTCGCGACTGATCTTGACGCGAGGATTTGGATCCCGTGATTGATCTCATGGACCGTGACCTCATCTCCTATTCCGGCATGAACCCGCGAGGCGCCGGACGTCGCTTGGTGTCGCTTGCTACCTCGCAGGGAGCATGGCAGTGGGCTACTGAATCTGGGTTGGGGGGGGCGGGGTATTCCGTTTGTCAAATGTGAATATCGAGAGCCAAGCCCTTGACATGTGGCAGCGGGATGCAGCCACCGGATTTCAGCTCCGGAAAGGTCTTGAGGTCCAGAGTCCAGTGTGCAACAAGGGATGTGTACTCCCGACAAAGGGCCCCTCCCCGTGTTTCCTTTGTGGGCACAAGGGAATTACTAAACTCATGGAGGGGACGCCCCTCAGGTTTAGCGTGGGGATGATCCATATGCCGACCTTGCGAGAGTCTTTTCGAAGGGTACCACGGCCATTCGAACAAATTCGCAGTGATGTCCGGCAGGCAAGGAGTGCCCAGCCGACTTCAGCTCCAACTTTCTGGCTGGGCGCAAGGGAAGTACCTTCCACAAGAAGACACCCGGCCAATGGATCCCGCTTTGCTTGCGAGTAGTTGTTGGATCTTATTCCTCTAAGATCTCACTATGAGCAGAGATAAGCAGCCAGTCGTACATGTGCTTTACGTGATGAGAGATGCGCAACCCAATTTGAAGACCTGGTTTCCAGTGGTTGCGCCATTCGGGTGTGTTAGTTGCTCATTCCACTCGCAAGCTGAGGGTGTATGACGCCATGGCCTCAGCACTTTCCAGTGCCACAGCAGTTCATGTGTGAGCTCGTCCTGGGGGGCTATGTACCTGTCAACGTGCAAGCAAGGAGTGCAGGTGCTGCGCAGGTGATGTGCTCATCGGCATGTTGAGTAAGGAAGTGCATCCTTCCACGACAATCAGCACCGAAATGCTTTGATAGTGCAAAATCTAAGGCCCAAATTGAGAAGATGCAGAAGCACTGCCCCGCTTCTCAAAAGGCGCCATGCGATTTGTTGTTTGACACGCATGGAACAGCGAAGCAGATGTGTCTTTCCAGCTGACATGCTTTGAGACATGGCGTGGACGTGCAGCAGAGTTCTTTAAGCCACACCGAGGGCAAGACCGTGAACGGACGGGAGGTGTTTTGCTGCTTCAAGGAAAAAGATGCCACTTGGCGACAAGCGGAAAGAATATGTCGAACATCGGATCCCGAACACTTTGGTTGTGCAAGTTGGGAAAACCACTGGCTGGACTTTGGACAAGTTCCGAGCCAACCCTCCATTGCCTGAGGCCCAATCCGATGCCATGCCCTTTTGGCCCAGGTGAAGTGCGATGTCCCTTGGGCAGCGATCGGCGAAGGAGTTTCCCATGGAGTTCTGCGCAGGAGTGACACGCATGGCCACTTGGGCACTTGGCAAAATGAGGGGGCCCTGTTTGGATCTATATTATTTGACAATTTTTCCAGCCCGCTGGAAAGCAAGCAAGCAAGCAAGCAAGCAAGCAAGCAAGCGCCGTAACACCCACACTCAAAACCACCCTAAATCCACCCCAACCCCCCCTAAGCCCACCTTAAACCTATCCTAAACCCATCCTAAACTAACCAGAAACAACCCGAAACCCACCTGAAACCCACCCTGAGCCCACCCTAAACCGCCCGAAACCTAGCCTAAGCCCAGCCTAAACCCACCCTAAACTTACCCTAGACCCGCCCTTAACCAGAAAGTCGCATCGTTCGCACATGGCCGGTGGGGAAAGCATCCCCGCAACAAACAACCGACCCAACTGTTTGTGTTGGAGTGGAGTCCCGTCGAAGCAGCGTGGCCGGCGGGTAAACGCACAGCAAGACATCAACTGCGTGCTTATGTTTGATGAACACCTCCTGTTTCCCAGGCGCGGGGCGCAAACAATGAGTGTTGCGCCACAGCGCGGCGTGCGTTGTGGAGGAGCGTGGCCAATGTGATTTGAACCACCTTGTCGGCAGGATGAAGGCGGATGGCGAGGACTTCACCTCGTATTGCTTCGCGGGCGACCATTCCTTCGTGCCCTTCGAAATAGAGGGAGTGCTGCAGACACCGGGCTGCAGGAGTTGCCGTGGCTGAGAACAAGGTTCTCCAAAAAAGGGAATCCACCAAAAGGTGTCCCTCTGCCTCCCTTTGAAGCACGCCCTTGGAACAGACACAGAGAGAGAGAGAGACATATCAGGACCACCCAAATCGGCAGAAGTGTTTGCGCTGTTGGCGGCATTTTTAGTTACGTGGCAACGTTTTAAATGAGATGCAGAAGCGTGTGGGCGCTGGGCAAATGATGGCATATCAAAGGAGGCACCTCGACGAGGCGAGCGCGAGGATCTAGGTTTCAATCCGAATTTCCATTTGGACTTTCGGGGTAGGATTTTCGTTGCTATTAGTAGCTGCTCTGTTGTTTACGCAAATCTCTGCACTATGGCCCTTTGCAGCAAAAGAAACGTCAATTGTCTGGTACTAGCATGAGACGTGGCAGATGAGACTTGTGACTGGCAAAAGGTTTTTATCGCGTCTCAGGCATACACCACTCCTGACTGACGCCTTGGAGAGGTTTGAAAAGAACCATGCTTTCTCCTTAGTGCCACCTGCCAGTTGACAACCTCAGTTGCGACTCAGCCAGTCGGGGCAAGACTTTGTCTTTGTGCTTGACCCACGCACATGGAGCAGTTTCGTGTTTTTTTTTCTGGCATGCAACATTTCAACACCAGACCCAGGTCAAGAATCCACTCGGACGGATTGCATATCACCTGTTCAACTCGCCGGATGCTTAGTTGCTTAGCTTTGCAAGAGTCTTCTTAGACTAAAATGGCACATACCTACCCAGCATGCATTGCGATGGACAAACACGCTGCAGCACGTTCTTGAATCGGATAAGAGGCTGTGCTTGACTCCACCCCAGCTTGAGTACCCAGTGTTTGCGCTCAGAGACCAAACTGATAAGGGCAAGATTTGGTCAGTACTCAAGGCGTGAGCACATTGACCTTGCAAACAGAGGATGACGTCATTGCAGACATGGTCTTGCAAGCGGCTGTCCAACAACGACAGTTTTGTGGGCAACCTTTATGTGAGGAGGGGGTGTGCGGCTTGCTTACACAATTTGAATCACGTAGATGCGGCGGTTGGTTTGATGGCATGCCTGCTTTGAGGCAGTTGTTTGAAGAGGCATGCTGATCGATATGATGCGAAGCAGGTGTCACACTCGCGTGCTAATCAAAGTGTCATCGACAGTTGAAGCGGGGATCGACCGAATTGCGTGGAGTATAAGACAATCATGTCAAGACAATGCATCCGCGGCAAGCAAAGCCGTCAAGACAGGCCTGTTCTGCAAGGTGTTTTATGTTTGTTCCGTTGGCAGCTGTGCATGTTTTCGGGTGGCAGCTATGCACCTGCAGGAGCTTTACTCGCGGTGCGGGCAACAAGACCTCCGGCTGCAGGAGAAAGGGCAAAGGGTAGCGCAGTATCCTTCACAGATGATAGGGGTGACGTCAAGTGAACGTGATACAAGGGAGCCTTCCGTGTCTTTAAAATTGTGTGCTCCGTTTGCTGCCTCTGAAAGACGCTCTGCAAAAGGGGGTTTGACACATGCCCAGATGCTACGCTGAGGATGTTGGTTGGGGTAAGACCCATCATTTGTGGTGTGTGTTGTATAATTGTGGTTTGGCGCGGTCAAGTGTTCTTGATAAAGTATTCAGCAGGTACTCCCATTTAAGCAACAATATCTTAGCCACAGGCAGCAGCTCGGCGATCAATACATTCCTCCGTGCGTACGCAAAACGGCCCACCACTCTGCATTCAACGAGTTTTCCTTGTCGTAACAAAATACGTGTACAGAATACATAGATGTATCGTTGGAGTGAATTTCTACAGGCATTTCTTCTAAAGTGTTATGCAGCCAGTTTGGATTGTCAGAGTCGAGCGACCCTTGTTCAGCCCTGCAGCAGCCCCTGTACCGCGAAGGTGAAACCCGGCGCATGGCGGGAGAGTTGTTGTGGGAATTACAAAGACGCTTGGGTCCTTGAAGATTGTCTCCATGCTGCACCAAGGATCGTGACCGGCAGTGCCGCGCAAGCGTTTCTGGAGAAATACCCTCAGTTCAAGGAGCAAACAAGGCTTGGTGGCTCGCCGGGGTGCCCTTTTGCCTGGGGGACAGCCCTATCACAAGTCAAAGCAACCTTCCCAGCTATGGCCGGCCCATGGCAAAGCGGTGTGCGCACCATGATGTGAAGTTGTCCTTTGGTCGAATTTGCTTTGTCGCCTCATCGCAGAGAATCAACACGCACATTGCCATGACCCTTCGGCGGCACGCTGTTTATTCAACGTTTGTCTTGCGGGTGTCCCTTCAGCATATGAGCACTCACTGGCTGTGAAGATAGGCTTGCGATGGGTTGGTCAAACCTACTAACAATGCCGGACCACCTCTTGGATATCCCTCTCACCAAACTAGACGGCTTGGCTCAGCTCATAATCTTTGTTTACCAAGCATTCAGCTCACCAGGTCGCAGGCTGTGGTGCCCTGCCTCAAGAAGAACCCCTTTGCGCAGCTGGAGTCCATGGCGCCGCCAGCTGGACCCATCAGCGACAAGTGCACCTCGGGCTTCCTTCGGGGCTTTCTGCGGATGTCGGTGTCTTGAAATAGGGGAACCGCTCAAAAAAACAATGTGTTTTCCCTGTCGTTTTGCTTTGGACTTCTTGCCCAAAGGTACCCTCCAACAAGAATACAAAGACGCCATGTTGCGCGCGTGCTCCAAGCTCTTATCGGGTGCAGTTCTGGAGTCCTGATCGCGGCAAGGCAACATATTTTCTATCGCGGAGTCGGATCCATCTGCTGCCTTCGATTTGAACGCCGCTTGCCTGCAGTCGCGATAGCTGCAATCTAAGTGGTCAGCTTGTTAAAAGGGCCTGCTGACCGCTGATGAGGTGCTTCAAGCATGGTTTTGGATCCTCGCAAACATGCCCAGCCAGGGCTGTGGGAAATGACCACATCTGTGATACAACAGAAAGGGCCTCCCGAAGACGAACCACCCATGAAAAAGAGGGGATTCCCTTGTATCACAGAAGTGGGGATACCTTGATCCCACAACCCTGTGCCCAGCCGAGTTTTGGCCAAGCTGGTGGCTTGATGATTGCTTCATGGAAGATCATGGAAGGTTGCGCCAAAAATTGGTCAGTCCGGGCAAAAGGAGAACCGGGGAGGGTCTCAGGTGTCAAACGCTTTTATGTCGCTCTACTCGCTGAACGTTATGTCCAGAACTTGCCGAGCTTCCGACGCGGCCGAGGTGGACTCATGGCGGCGCCACACCGAGGAGTTGTGCAATGCGCCCGTGATGGTGAACGACAGCAATGTCTTGTCCCCAGAACGGATGGGTTTGCTCCCAAGAAAGCCACTCTCGAGTGCCCGCAATGGTTGCTTCTTGTTCGGAGGCCCCTCCGGATTGAATCGGGGTCCTCTCCGGTCCTCTCACTGTCTGGCCAATAGGACCGGAATAGGGAAATCAAAAGAAATTGCTTGTGAGCTGGAGGGTGCCAAGATTAATCGTGGGGAGGTTGTGTCATTGCGGGGACTTCCTTGAAGGGGAGGACATGGCGGTACCCTTCATGAGCTTTCAGCCTTGGTAAAAGTAATGGCAAGGGCATGCAGGGGCTTTATTTTTCGACATGCTGAGTCAATTCTGAGGTCAAAAGAAAAGTCTTGCTCTGGATAATGCCATATCCGAATGGGGGCCTGGGGGGCGGGGGTGTCTTATCAAGCTTTGTGAGTGCCCAGCTGGCCGGAAAGAATGTGGTGTTTTTAATTGCAGGGTTGGTGAATCTGATGCGATAACTGGTCCGAACGAGCAGCGTCATAAACCCTGGTAAGAAACAAGTAGCACAGCGGGATGCACAGAAGTGTGTTCAGAGCCCCGCCGCAAAAGCCAACGCGCAATCCACGAAAGCTCTGAAAGCTCTTGTCGCCAAAGGCGAAAGCGTACATTCCGAAGGGTGTGTTTTGTGCAGTCGAGAAAGAACTGTGAAAGCGTCACGAAAGGGGCCCGAGCAAGCAAACTCATGGTACCGCATTTTACACAGTAAGTTTCGACACCGCCGAAACGTATTGTACAAGCGGTTCTTGGGGGAGAAGATTGGCGAGTCTTTTTGTTCAGTTGTGGCCTCTAGCAATTGCTCCGTGTTGCACGGCGGTCCGAGAAGATATGTCAAAATGCTTGCCTTAACTGGCTCCGGGATGCAACTTTGTGCTAAGCATGTTTTGGTGTGCGCCGGAGTTATTTGCGCTCTTTGTCAAGGAACTCGCTAGGCTGGACAGCATCTAATCTAATCATCTTCCTCATGATTCCAAACGTTCGGGTGAATCTGTTTGTTTCTAAAGCTGTCACCTGACACGGTTCAACAGTGCGCATGATTCGCCTTAACACCTGAATCTCCTAGTGAAGTCAGATTGTGTCGCTGCCCGAATTCTACGATCGTGGTTAGGAGTTCTGCGGGCCATAGCCATTCATTGGTGTTGGCACGTTGCCCAAAGCACTGACTACCTGGAGCACCCTTCATTACATAAATTTCTGCCCTTAGCCCAAACGTATTGCAAAACCAGGGGTCGTCACCAAAATATAGTAAACGTACACTTTTTCCTGCTTCGAGCGTTTTTCCCAAAACCGGGCTGGTCGGTCCAAGATGATCGGTCGCTGAATATTCAAAAGGAGCGAGCAGAAATCAAAGTGCAACACGAGCGCAAATATCCGCAAAACGAGCGCAAATATCCGCAAACGGGTGCAAATTTAAAAAACGTAACAATCCCGCCTTCCTCTGGATGGAAGAAGGGGATGTGGTCGAGCGTTTTTCGGGGGACGAGCGTTTTTTGGGGGGTCGAGCAGAAATCCGTAATTCGAGCGTTTTTTTCTCGTACCAAAAAAAAAGGCACGTCGGGTGCCTCAGGTATCAAAGAGAAGCACGATGTATGGCTGAACATGGCTGCACATGGCTGATGCACACTAATGTGTTAGTACCATGGGGCCCATGGCCTAGATCCCTACCGATATCCGCTGGCGTGGAACAAGAACAGCTGTTTTTTTTATTGAACCGAAGTCAGCTCAATGGAGTGGTTGGACAAGCAGGGCCAGCAAGAGCGTGCTGACGTAAAAACAGTCTACGGCACGAAAGGATACTGCCCACATGCCAAGGACAACCCACCTTTTAGACTCTACCATGCGCCGCACACACGCGCACACGCATACACACACCACACACACACACACACAAGCACGCACGCGCACACGCACACACAGAGAGTTGCAAATCAGAACAAGCCTGCAATGGTGCTGCAATGCCCCATGCAGCCAGCCCGGCACAAAGTGTAGTTAACAAATCCCTGGATTGGGCAAATGTCAATTGAATTCCCTGGATTGTTTGTTGTACTCAAAGCTGCTTGAGCAAAACTGTGTTCACAATTGAGTTGCCCAAGCAGGTTCAAACAGGGCAGCAACTGTGAAGAGAACCAAAGTACGCATGAAGCAACGGACAACATTACCAACTTCGTGTGCTTATCGGATTTGCAAGTTAATAGATTCAGATAAAAAATGCGTTACAGCCTGAGATTACACCCTCATTCCTACTTATGTTGACTTAATTTGTTCCCTTTGGGTTTGTACCCTTGTCTGGTGGTAACATCAGGCATTCATACACTGCGTTCTGCCGTCAAAATCCGCTGGACCTTGAAGCGCTTCAGGTGAAGTCCCTGCTCCCGGACCTGCCCGAGGAGTATTTCCGTCTTCCTGGCGCTCAGGAGCCCAGCATTGCCGCTTTCCCACCTTTGATTCGGTAAGCCGAGCCACAATCAAAACCTGGGTAGACGAAGGTTAGCAAGGGATGATCCCAGCCATAAATAGCTGCGGCCGCCTTCTTAACTCTTTACATGGTTCTGGGTCGACCATTTTTGTACCAGGTTTTGATTGCGACTCAAGGGGCGCCAAAGGGTGAGCTTGGATTTGCTACTGGGCTTGAGATGGATGCACGGTTGGCTTGCTTTCCAAACTTATGACTATGGCGTAAGTATCGGAGTAACAAATTCGTGCGACGGTGCACTACTAGCTTGGCCGCAGAGGGACATTGATGATCATTGCAGCGCTTCAATGGCTGCGCGCCACTACCTCCCAAGCGCTTTGTTCCAAGACAAAGGAGGCACTTGGCTTGCATCGCGACGCGCTCCGTTCTGTTTTCTTTGCCGTGCAACGCCAGCGCACAAAAGCAACAGTTTGCTGAGGGCTGAACGGGCTGAATAGCAACCATCACTGTTCATTGTTTTTGGGAAATAGAAAAAGGGGACAGGTGTTTGTCTACTTGCTCAACACTCGTCTTTTGAACACCTGTTTGAGCACCATCGGGAATAGCTGGCTTTGGCTGGCAACCTCGTGTTTGCTACTTGCAGCGGTGGATGAGATCGTCGTTGCTCAGAAAGTACTTGGAAGCCCTGATGTAAAAGCCACCAGGTCAGAAAAAGTTAAGCCAACAAGACATGAACACGGCAATTCCCAACCGTAGAACACTGAGTTGCACAGCGCAAGCTTTGGCGAGTCCTTGATCAAATGCCCGTGCTTGTGCCAGGAGAAGTTGGACTTGATCCGACACGGACGCTTGCCCGGCAGAATGGAATGCCACTATTTCTCACACAAAAGCTGTGCATGCGTAACACGACCAGGCTTGGAGGTCTGACTTGTGCGCTAGTAATGGCTCATAGCAGACACGTACTCGTCGTGAACTGGTGCAGCGGACACAGGCTGGCTGATTGCTTGTGCAAAGGCCTTGATTTGGAACAATTGGGTGTAGTTCTTCCTGGACTCATGCTATTTCTCTTTGTATATGGGCTATCTCATTTAGGATGCAGCGTCGTGATGTTCCAAATCTGTGAGAAAGCGTCGCGTGACGAGCCTGTGCACCAAGGCCTGATTTATCATCATGGAGGCCGTGAATGACTGGCAGGCCACTCTGCGAGGTGTTTGTTTTGGCTGACAATCGCAGGAATGGTCCTGCAGGGGGACGTGGTGTTTCTGCGGGACATGAGCAAAGTGGTACAAAAGATCGAGCTGCATGTGCCTGGGCTTGAGGTGCAAGAGCCAGGTGTTGGACATGTGGCGGATGCATCAAGCGCAAGACATGCACGATGTCAATTATGTGTTATGAGTGTTTGCAATTGGGATTTGCATGCCAGCTTCTATGTGTTGTTTTGGCTTAGAGTGTTTCCAACTCTGAGCGCACAATGCAAGGACTTGGTGTCGAGCTTTGGCTGCAATAGAGCAATCGGAAGGCACGTCCACCGAGGTGCGAATGTTCTTTCAGACGCAACTCTGGCGACGTTGAGCAAGACTGCTTTTAGCAACTATAGCCTGGCTCCCTTTGACAAGGAAACACAGCAAGGATACGGTTCAAGATGGAATCATGTTGAACCAGGTACTTGGCCCAGGCTCCTTCGGGGCAGTGAACGCTTGGGTTCGGGCAAGGGCTGAGTGAGTTAGCCCTTCAACTTAGTTGCCCGGAGGAGTGCAAGGGATCGTCATGTTCTCAGTGCCTCATGGTGAAGTGCCCCTGTGGCTTCGTTCTTTCGGGGGAATCCCATTTTTCGGGACGAGTGGCCAAGGAGCTCCGAGCGCCGAAGCGGGCAGGCGACTGCCTGCGGGGATTCCTGGCAAATCCTTTTCACTGCAGGCAGGGTGCCTGCCCTGTGAAGGCTCCAAACGCAGAAGTGGGCTGCAGCTGTGTTTGACACTGACATTGGTGTTGGACTGTTGAGTCCGCATTTGTCGAGAAGCTAATGTGTCTGTACGGCTGGCCGATGAGGTTTGCTCGAAGTGGGCTTGTCCTCAAACCAGGAACATCCCGGAAATATCTTGGGACCATCGTGTCAAGGGCTCCGCTACTTGATCAGATAGGAATGATGTGCAAGAATCTGTCTTCTCTTTATTCCTTGTGTCCTTGGTTGATTCACTTCTGTGCTCCAGGCAAGCGGGGCAGCCGATTCCACGGAGCTGCGTGGCATTTTGCGAAGGAGTTGGCGCCCTGCTTGCAGGGGGATGCTTGCAGCATGGATTACGTACAATTATCCAAAACACTGCATTTGGTAGACATCTCGAGATTTTGCGTGTCCAACTCGTAAAATGCCATGACCTTCTTGCCATGACGCATCGAAAGGTGTAGAGGCACTTCCACACAGCCAATTTGAGGCTTTGGCACGAGCGCCAAAGGCCACGTGGCTGAAGCAATACTCTGAGCAAACGAATCCCAGCGTTCTTTGACTTAGTGCCCAATTGCTTTGTTTTGCCTCTCCGAGGCAAGTTGCCTGTGCAAATCCTGATGCCTCTCTCCCTGCAAAGTCATAGAGCGAATCTGGCAATGGCACACCATGCTGGTGCCTCCTATGTTGGCTGGTTCAGGGCTCAAACAAGAATAAGCAGAACATTTCTGGGGGTGCATGCTTGAAGTTGTTGAGTTCATTTTGAGCCCAGGTGACAAAGCATTGCCCTCTTTCAGACAAGGAGACCTCGGCCTTGGGCGTCGCATGCATAGAGTCTCCTCCTGTTTGGAGATGTTGAATTGACAGCTTGTTTACAAGTATTGTCAGCATATTTGCGGTTCTGCGAAAAGTTATTCGGAGGAGAAGGAGAAGGTGTGCTGCTTCGATGACAAGAGGCTGAATTGTCACATTCCTGGAGGGGCTTTGGGAGAGTCCTTCTCCAGCAGACTCAAGCAGGACAGGCGAGTGCTACAGCTTTGCTGCTTTCAGAAAGCACACATGACACTTTCTTGTTTTCTGAGCGAGGAGTACGAGGGTGATGAGCAGGCAGGGCCAGTAGAGTTGTGCTCACATTTTGTGATCCTAGTCACATCACTCAAGCATGTCAAGTGACATGGTAGCAAATTTATTTTGTCTCCTGGCTCCTCCTTGCGTTTGAGCAGTTGAAATGTAGGGGGTGGGGGGGGGGGGGGGGAGGGGAAGGCCATCATTCGGTAGGGCCTCCATGAAACCGTGAGTTTCAGTTTGATCTGTGCCCGTTGGTCAGGAGATGAAGTCCTGACCTTAGTTTTCCGAGTGGAAATTCCACCTTGAGCATGTCTTTGGGTCACATACGGAGATTTCTTCACAGCTTGGGGGGGGTTAGTGGTTTTTCTTGTCCAACTCGCACTACACAACTCAGGTCCTACTGCTTCTCCGAAGCAGAGTCTTTTCGACCTGCGATGTTTCAGCAAGTCCTCGATCACACGCCAGCGATGGACGCGGGTGACAAGATCTTTAAGCGAGAGCATAAGAGACGCTTGCCGGGCTTGGCTGTTTAGAGGGCTAAATCGAAATGCTCACAGGGCGGTTGCCTTCCAAGGCTGGAAGTTGGAGCACCAGCCGGAAGTGCACACAGATAAAATTCCATCATGATTAGAGTGGGTTGAGATTTGGGATCATCCATGTGTTTTTGGAACATAAATACTGCGAAAATATTTCGAGGGCCTTCTTTCGTATTGTGCCGCACTATTGGTTTGTGCATACCACTCAACTCGGTGCCAGTACTCAGGAAGCCTTCTTGCCGGGCTCTTAGATGGCGCTAAGTCTGTTGTGTGTGCAGTACACAGGTTGTCCAACAGAGCCTTTTCATTGCTAGTGGCTGGCAAAGAAAGGCTTTTCCACAAGTGGTATTGGTCGGCGGGATAGTCCCTTTATGAAGCAACGCATGCCTTTTGGCAAGTCGAATGGAGCTATTTACAATGCATATAGCTGAGACAACTGTTACAATGACAAGCGCGGGTCACCCCCTTGTCACAAAACTATTCACCTGCCACCATGATGCAACTGATACTGCGGACGTGCACTTCACTTGCAGCGTGCTGAGGCAGGCTTTGCCCTCTTTGTCCCATTGTCCATGACGCGGGACGTCCGTTGCCGGCAACTCTTCAACACTCGCAAGGCCGGCTCATAAGAACTGGGTACTCCGTTGATGAAATGAATGTTCCCCGCAAAAGGACACCCTCCTGAATGTCCCCAATTCAGGAAGCCCGCAAATTATGTACCAGGCGTTTGTTCGCAGTGGACAGTAATCTGTCAACCGTGGTCGATGCACGCCAGTTGTTTGTGGAAGAGCATGAAGTGAATCAGGCAGGAAATGGTCAATTTAATGAGTGTAGCTGTCAACGCCAAAGCAACACCGTGCGTTTGAGTTTCCCTATGGACCCTTGAATCGAAGGAACATGTCCACATTCGGCTGGGCACTTTAGCGGGGTCAAATCTCTGCCGGGATCGAGGTACGGGCCTCGTGTGCGGTTTTCCTTGTTCTGGGGGGGAAGAGGTTGAGAAGCAACTGGGCTACCAACCAATTAGGCCCCCACCTTTTTTTCTTTCACGCACACTCACACGCAGGTGATCGGCGCCATCTACGCTGCCAGCTTCGATGTCAGCGATGAATCACCAGAGCTGCCCTGCAAGCAGCCCCAGATGATCAGGAGATGGCCTGGGGTGGATCAGATCGGGTTCCCTCAGGGCAAAGCCGGCTTCAGGTACGTCACAACTTGATTGGCTTTGCTCACAGGTAAAGAAATCCGGGCAAAGGAAAGAAAGGCAGTGCCCTAGCCAGAACATACAGCCGCAGCGTATTCTAATCTTTGCTTGCGAATGGGCGGAGACTCAGGGCTTTGAGAACGGTGATGGCAGGAGTTTGCTGGGCGCACTAGCACCTGGCAACCCTTCAAGTGAAGGCAAGTGCGGCTCGGGCCGCAGGGGAGGGTCCTTGATTCAAGCTCGGGCGGAAATCTGGGATGAGTACACCTCCATGTCACAGGACAGGAGGAGGATTCCTTTGAATGTCCCCAACCCCGTGTTTGTAGAGTATTTATTAGCCACTACAAGCCCTCCTCTCCCTTTGGTGGTCTTTTTTGGATTTCCTTTGCTGGTTTGGTTGCCTGCCCCTTTCTTAAACCCTTATGGGAAGCCTCTATGGAGCACATACCTCCCCTGTTTTTCCCTGTGGTTTAAAAAGCTTGCCTTTGATATTTTACATCTTTGGGGTATATACCTCGGCTTCTTGTTTTGATTGTTTTGTTTGCAACCAACGCACAATAAGGAGGGTACAACCAACCAAGGGAAAGCAGCCAACCAGCCGGAGTGTAGCCCAGTGCTTCCAATTTCCGGATGCCTCAACAAATTCACTTGGCAACTGTTCTTGCACTGGGCAAGACCAAGCCATTAAAAACCAGAAAAAAAAGAAACAACGAAAAGACAAGAAACCAGCAACACCGCCCTGTGTTTCATGCCGGCCTGCCGGTGTCAGTTTCCCCGAGGCTTCGTCTTCTCCTTGAAGCTGGAGCCCGAGCCCCTGGCGGCGAAGCTGAACTTGGCCTCCTGGCGCCGGCACCTGCCCGCCTGCGAGGCGGTGCTGATCTCGGCGCCTGGGACGAGCCATCAACCGGCGTGTGGCAGGGGGGGGCGGCAGTTTGGGCATGCCCCGGATTTGACAGCCACGTTGAATGTTGGGCGTGCTGCTTTCAGGGAAGCCACGTGGAAAACGGTGTCCTGTGCTTTTTTGTTCTTCCTTTTTTTCACGTGGGGGGGGAGGTGTTACCCTTGTTGGCGAACCTGGTTTGGGGAGTGGTTTTGTTCAAGAGCAACCCAATACTTGCCTTACCTATTGAGTTTCCTGACTTGAAGGCGTCCTCATAGTTTTTCTGGCCAGTCAACACAGCAGCAAGACATTGTAACAAGTGAATTCCAATTTGCCTTTTCGTCCAGCATGTACTGCTTCAGATTTGCTGGTGAATCGCTGAGCCGTCCTTGAACACTCAGCACTTGTTGCGAATGTGTTCAATGCTTGCCATGTGGAGCAAACAAGCCAGCAGCAAAAGGCATGGGAAACGAGAAGAAGCTGGAGCCCAAACAAGTTGAATATGTATCAAGCTCCACTGTCGTGTTGACTCAAGGTTCTGCTTGATCATGCCTAGCTTGTTGAGACGCTGCTCGACTTGCCCTCGATAAATGCGCGCTGTCCTTTGCAGAAGCAATTCGCCTCAACAGTGGAAACCTTCTGGCTACGCATTGTGTGTTCCAAACATACCTTGCTAAACACTGCCAGCCCTCCCCTGCATCGCTGAAAACCCTGTTGGCCTTCCAGCAGCAGCAGCAGCAGCAACACCACCGCTTCCACCCGGTGTTTTGCACATTGATGCACACGGTTTCCTTTGGCTGATCCACAAACATTTGCATGGGCGACCCGAGGACAGCAACGCAGCGGCCTCAGAGATCCAGCCATGCGACAGGGTCGGTCGGGAGACATTGGGGGCCAAGCCCTTCAAGGGGTGGAAAACCTTTCTGACCTGAAAACAAGGTCAAATGAGCTTGGACGCTGACATGAAGGTGCACAGAAGTCCTTGCCGTGCTTTAGGGATTTGGCAGGTCCAACATGCAGAAACGCATGAGCAGTTGACATTTGGGGATATCAGTGCCATAGAATGGCATTGATTTGAGAGAGCATTGAGCAACCTTGAGAGGCGTACATGATGCCGGCAGGGCTTCACTTTGAGATTGATTGAGGCCGAGCTGAAAAAATGAAGCAAGTATGGCCCTGTTTGGTCTACCTGACTGATACTTCACGAGGCAAATTTTCGTTGAACGGCAGGACGCATGCCACATCTCGTAACTGGTGCAGAATGTTGAAGAAGAGGATCTGCTTTTCCAGCTGCTTTTCGCAGAATCCGTGCACGCCCAAACCGGTGTGCGCACTCAGAGACCTTCGATTTTAGCGTACACACGGCTCCCTAAGCAGGAAGAAGCCATCAACTTTCAAAGCCCGCAGAGGTAAAGCGCAGGTATAAGGTGTCTACACCAACAAGTTGAGCGTGTTCCGTTGTTTTGCCTTTAGAACCAATCATCACAGAAGACCACATGCCACGTGTACAGAATGTACACAGTGTGCAAACAAACGCAGGGGGATTGAGTCGAGCGCGACCCCCAGGTTCGAGACTGGGTGCCGGATGTGCCTTCGGAGTACTTCAAACTTCCTGGCCCGGAGGAGAAGCTCGACTTCCTGAGGCGAAGCGAGATGTCCCAAGGGCAAGCAAGGCTTTGCGGGGTATGCTGGCAGGATCCACCAAACCAGCCTGCAAAAACACAGACTCCACGACGTGTTCAAGCACCAGCCATTTGTGTCCCTCCAGGTGATTCTATTGTGTGTGTTGCAATCAAAAGCAAGGATTGCGACGAAGCACGCGGCGTAGATGTGTGACGGGGGACGCGTATAATGAAACTCAGCAGGATGGATGCATTGCTCCTTTTGCTACTTCGAACCGCCCACCAACCCCCTAGTCACCATTTTTCGCACCCTTTGTATAAAATCTAGCATGCTGAGACCAGCATGTCATGTCCTCATGGCTGCATGTTGATTCACAGCGACAGCCAAACACTTTCTCTAGGATTGCCATTTGATGGTCGTGGTTGCTCCGGCTAACAAGAACAAGCGTTGTGCATAAGTGGGTTCCTGAGAAGCTCCTGGTAGGAAATCGCTTGCTGCTTGTTGTGTGTGTGTGGGTGCTTTTGTGTGTGAAGCCATGTGCCGTGCGCAACATTCGGCGACATTCGGCATGCGCTGAGAACCCAAAGGAACCGCGGTCATGTGTTGCGGGACTTTGGCTTGGAACTTGGAGCGGTCCAGGCGCACACCAGCGGCATCCTTTGGACACGTGTTTTGTGCCAAACGTGTGGAGAATGCCACGCCTTGCGCGAGAGCGATGCAAGCCACAAGCTGCAGGCACGGACTTCTCTTCCACAACGGCGGTTTGGTCCTGCGGAGAGACGCTTACCTTCATCTTGGCGCGAGCTCCGATGCGGGATCGCATCGGCGTTTCAAGCAATTTCTGGCCTACGTGTTGCTGTGGTGTGGCCTGTGAAGGTTTGTCATGTTCTGGTTCTATGAGTTCCCGATTTGCTGCGCATCAAATTGGAAATTGAGAGTGTTACATCGTTATATGCGCCTTGGCATGATATGAGTTTGTTGTTCCAGTGGTTCCAGAAAATGGTGCAGATTATGATGCCTTAGGCTTTGACCAAGTGGTTGCACACGTCAGGTCGCGTAAGAAATAGGCAGACAAATGTTTGTCGATCCAAGCAAGCCTAGTTCTGGAGACCTGGAGGGGCACGCTCAAACTTAACAATCACATCAACGAGTCATTGTTGAAGCAGACAGCTCAAAGGTCGTAATCGTCGTAATCCATTTGAGACGAGAAGATTGCATGGCGCATGACAGTTGGGGATGACCAATGAAGTGATACAGCAGGGTGACGTGTGTGTCCCGTAGATGCGACGTGCGTGGCGCGAGATTTTGCTGGGAGCTCATAGCTGAGGGGTGGCATGGGTTGGCATGTCTGCTCCGAGCACTTTGCCATCTAGCAAAAGGAAGAACTCCAGAATGTTGTTGAACTATTTGCTGGATCAACACATGGCCGCTTGCTGAGCATGTCAATGTGGCTGATCGTTTACATAGCATCGAATCATTCAGTTGCGGCATTCCGTGGTTACTGGACAGACCCTAAATCCGCTGCGTGATTTGGGCTTTGCTTGCTACAGCCGCTTGCCAAGGAGATTGTGGCTGCTGACAGCCTTGCAGAGATCCTCGAGCTGGCCGCCAAAGTCGATTTACTCTCGCTGCTTGGGTTGAAACCCGCGGGCTTAGGGAGACAGAAGCTCGGGATGGAGACAGGTACAGAAGAAGCAATAGGGGATATGAGAATGAACCAATCCCCATCGTGTTGACTTCTGGAGAAACAGACACAGAGAGAGAGAGAGAGAAGAAGAAACAGTGGGCTGGGTTGATTCGCAAAGAACGCAACAGGGGCTGTTGAAAGGACTGGGATGCCTCATGCGCTGGAGACGTTCCAGCTTCATGTCTCCACTTGCCCGCAGCTGAGGTCTGCTGAAGACAGATATGGTGATTCCCATGAATGCCCCTGCCTCAATAGCTTGACGGCGATGACCAGGTGTGTCCACGTGACTAGAGTGTGATTTGTTTGAAGTGCGGCATTACACTCGCTGCTGTGCTTTGGCAAAAGTGTGTGTATGTGTGTACCGTGAAGGCTGGGAGGTGTTTAGCAAGCAACCGGCTTGGCCAGAATAGAAGTACTGCAGGCAATTGCGTGTTTTGCCAAGCTGCCCTGCAGAGGTCAGGATTCTATATTTGCAGTTCTCTCGCACCCGCTCAGAGACAAGCCTTCAGAAATCCATATTTCAGAAGCTGTGTCAGTTTTTTCGTTAATGAGCAGGGCAGAGTTGATTCATGGACAAGTACAGGTGTATGCGTGCTCAGAGTGGCTGTTATTACTGCATAAATGACCAGGCCCACTACAACTGAATTGAAACACTTCACAAGCTTGCTTGTTGCAGATGGAATGAGCATTAATTACATGGTCTGTTGGAAGACGTGATGAGCAGGCAGATATATCAACCTAACGCGTTGCGCAAGGCCAAACCGCGATATTTTGCCGAAACAGGACATTGCTTGGGTGGCATGAACCCAACGATTTGCAGGATTTTTCAAAGGACTGCTCGGATGTTGGTAACCCACTTAGGATATTTCCATGGTCCCATGGTTGTAGTAAAAACTAGCTCCCTTATAACCATTGTTCTCCCGACTCAAGTGGGTCGAACGTCCCAAGTGGACTCTTTGTCGCACCCAACTCGCCTGAGGCGGGGGCGCCTTCCAGTCCAACATCTTTTTGGGCGGCAAGCGCGCCCGGGCCCCGGGAAACGACTTTCCGCAGTCGGCCACTAGCCCTCGGGCTGACACTTTGAAGGCCCTTTCCAGGGGGTTTCTGCGAGCTCCCAGGGAAGCGGGATGGGGCTTCCAAGTAGTGCAAGTGGCAGGCTGGGCTCGATTTTGAATGGTGGTCAACGTGAGTGGCAATGATTTCTGAGAATAATATGTCATAATTGATATATTTGGGCTTGTCACGAATGGTGTACTGGTCTGGAGAAGTGTAAACTCGTCAGTGGTGGTGTCAACTTTCAAATTGCGGTTGCATTCCGTTGCATTCGGAAGACTCAGATTTCTAGACTCGTTGAATGGAACGTATGGGCAATGCATGTTCACCGTGTGCAGCACCCATTGAATGATGCTAATGATGTTGGGGATATGGCGAAGAAATCAGTTTGATAAGAAACAGCTGCGTGGCAGCAAGACGTTCAGTACTCGCTCGCCCTTCTCAGGGCAGCCAGTACCACGGAGTCACCTGGAGCTTGACCAAGGAGGCTGTGACCAAGCACTGTCCCCTCGCTGACAGAAGCAAGGACGGGCATATTGTTGAGCATGATGTTGCAAGTACTTCCCATCAAGAGTGCCAGGAAATTGGTTTGAAGCAGTGTTGATTGTGTTGCATGCCTTTGCATTTAGAGCACAGATGGTGTTGAACGGGATAGTGTGTTTTGCTGGAAGAGCAGAGCAACTTCATGGCTACTCTGCAGGAGATCATTTGCTGCTTTGACTCTGACATCTCCTGTCACATACCTGGAGGAAGCCTTGGCGAAGGCTGGTTCTGCCCAAGCCCTGTCATGGTTTGCTTGAAAGTTACCTGACAGTTGTTTGTGCGCAAACGCACTGACGCACGCCTGGCCGCGTTGCTTGTTCGCTTGCGGTTTTGAACCCAGTTTGGGGAAACGCAGCTTGGATCGGCAGCTAATTTTGAGGCGACTGTTGTCATGTTTGCAGCATTTGCTGCCAAAGATGCTCCTTCAGCCCAGCCTTGTCAAGGCCAATCGACGAGGGTGAAAAGACTTCTGGAGGCAGGCTGGGGAGGAAGTCTCGGCGTCGGGCAGGTCCAACCAATTGAAGTCTACGTGGTCACCTTTTGAAGGAGGACAGGTCCTTCACAGGCCCCTTTTAAACTGCCACCAGCGAGCAACACAGAGACACCATCATGCGTCACATGTCATTTTGAGACAATATGGTGTTCACTTGGAATATTGGTACAAAAAAAAAAAAAACTTCAATCCACTACGTTCGCCTGTGTGTGATCAACTATACACAGAACTGCACACAGGCAGATTGTCCAAAAAACATAGAGTTTACAATCTCAACATGCCCAAGCCGAACAGCCTGCTTGGCGAGGTGAAAGTTGCTTTCCCAAAGGCGACAGGATGTACATGAGTAGGATGGAGTCGGCAGACCTATCCCTTCATGCTGGGTGTCCTATACAATTCCGGCCAACAAAATTGATAAACTCCAACATCTACGGAACAGGCTCATCTTGTCAAGAGTTTGCACTAGATGATGTTGGGTAGCAGTCCGAGTCACCTTTCGCGAGGATCTCACTTTTGATTTTAGCGGGATCCTTGGGTGAATGAACGCATGCATGGATCAGCTGAGCCACAATCAAAACCCGGGTAAGTGAAGGTTAGTACGGGACGATCCCAGCCATAAATAGCTGCGGCCGCCTTCTTAGTTCTTTACCTGGTTCTGGGTCGACCATTTTTGTACCGGGTGTGACTCAGTTGAGGTCGCCTTTTGGGGAGAAGCTTGCCAGTAAGTATGTAACCGAAAACTGTATGATTCAAGAGCTTGGCCTGGCGTTTTACGTCGTTTTGCCAGGCGGGGGACGTCCCTGTGGACTCCGAGTGTCTCTCTGAGCAGCGCTCCATTCGGCCGGGCTACTTTCAGTTTGTGCTGGACCATAAGCCCAAGCTCTTCGCCTGCAAAGCTCAGCTGGTTGTCACCGCCCCTCCTGGAAATATGCGTGTGTGTGTGTGTGTGTGTGTGTGTCTGTTTTTCTGCACGCGGCAGCGTGTCAAATCGAGGCATCCTTTGGGATGGGCGAAACATGGATTTGACAAATTATTCTCAGGTGTCCCCGAACTGGGTACTGAATAAGACAAGTTTGTGGATATAGTCTTCAGTTGCAGCGCCGGCCGGTGTATGGTTCTCGCGCTGCACCTGTGTACTGCCAAAATCTATCGTGCATACATTTCAAGGGGAGGCTACTTGGGAGAGGTGAGTTGACAGTTGGATGGTCGTCTACCGTCAGGCGTTTTAATGCAATGAGGCTGGCCGACGCAGAGGCGTTCTTCCGGCAAGAGAGGCATTCCGAGCTGATGAACAGGACTCCCGCTAGCTGACCGCATGACACAGCAGCCAACATGCCGCTGGCTTTAAGATTTGTTTGCCAGTCCTGGCTTGGGAGTCTGAACTCATGACTGCATTCGGCTTTCGCCATAGGACTGCTTTCTTCATCCCCTTCTCAGATGCTGGTCAGCGGTCATGTGAAGGCTTCTTCGAAACCGACACAGCAGCTTGTCCAGCAGATGGCAAGTGCCACACCTGGTTCAGGTTCAAGGGTTTCGTTCCTACCATGAGGCTGTGCGTGCTTTCGTGGTTTGCCTTCCATGGCTCTCACCCAAAACAGCCTGGACTCAGGTAGTTGGAGCAGCAGCCTGGCTGATCCGCATCTCTGGGCTAAACTGAGGTTGCCACGATGGTTGCTTGTATCTTCTGAGAGTCCGCACAGATTGGAAAAGCCATGTTCGACCAAGTCGCAAGAAGTCAGGTTGTCATCGAACCTGTCCCTCCATGGGCAAAGTTTGGGTGTTCAGAACATGCTTGGAGAGCAAAGGGACAAATGTCGGTGCAACATAGTCCACATTGTCAAAAGGAAACCAAACGGGTAGGATAGTTGTTTCATTTGCTTAGACCCCCTATTCGGCATGGCGGCAACCACAAACTTCTGTGCAACAGTGCGGTGGCCTGTTCTTGCGTGCACCCAGGTCTACGTGAAGAGCTTTGGTCCGGAGATATGCCCCCTGAAATCAGCAAGCTAAAGCTGCCCTGGCTGCACTAAGATTTGATGACCGCCTTCCAACCGGAATGGGGTTGGGGTAGGGATGCGTCCGGCTGATGGGGTCGGAGCAGCCTAGCAACAATGCCGTAGCTGCTCGTCTCGCACGGGATAAACATGTTCTGTTGAAGTTGAGAAGGTTTTGCTTAGCTGCTTCACCATGGTTCACGAATGTTCACGATATTTTCTGGACTGGTGTAATGGGTTTATTCAACATACCCTGAGGTTGCCTTTGTCCTGCCATGCCACACGCCACGTGTGTAACTCTGAGGTTGCCACGAACCAGGACTTGAGAGCTCGGTGATCGATGCTCGATTGAGGATGGCATGTGGTTGCCCACTGAGTCTGGCTATCCGATTTTCCCTTCTCCCCCCAAAAAGGGCATGGGTCCGCTGTTCCTCCAGAAATCTCAGGAACACGGCGCAAGACGGCCTCGAGACGGAGATCGCGGTGAATTCTGAGCGATCAGCCTCAAGAGAAGGGAAGTGCACGCCTCGGAGGACTGCGGCAGGCAAAAGAGTGCCGTGCGCTGTGGCCTGGGCGGTTCAAATCCGGAATTCCTTCTCTTTGATTGCAAAGGTTGCAAAAACGGGACGCATTTGCAGTTCTCCAATGTGTATGAATATATATTGATTTATATATAATTATATATATATATGAACAATATATACATATGTGTATGTATATATATATATATTGTTGGCCAGTCCTCTATTTTGAACAGCACCCGGCACCCGGTCCCACTTCTTTCGCAAACGACTGCAAGAGGCACCTGGTGTGCCTCAGTCTGCATATGCTGATCAGGTACAGAAGCGCTTGAAGGAAGACTTGGCGATTACACACCGAGATTCTTTGTACGAGGTCGGCGTTGATCGTGGTTTGCCAGATGTGGGCAGTCGCAGCGTTGCTTGAAGTTCGCCTATTCAGTGTATACATCTATATGAAACCAGCACCAGGAATTTCTAGATTAGGCTAGACCAATGGCCTAGTGTTCCATCGGTATTTGGCACTTCCTGTAGAAATTGCTGATGCTGGCTTGTGAATACAGTCTGCGCATGTCCAGAAGCTATTGTTAGATGCCTGGCACCGTGTCAACACTGGCTCAAACCAGGCGTAGCTTTGTCACCATGTGGTCGCATTTGCGAAGCTGGGACCTTAGCATGCAAAGGACTACAGGGATCACAGGCCATTCTGTTTATGGTGGTGCATGAGCAACAGCAGACCACCTGAGAAGGAAAGGCATACCTTGGTTCAATGATATAGGCTGAGTGTTGGTACCCCCCAAAGCTACACGATCCAAAAAGAGGGACGCCTTTCCAGGGCCCCACTTCTAATCGGAATTGCGAATTTCGTAATCTTTCACCGGAGGGCTTTGAGCATCCTTTATTCTACCATCCTGAACGGTTAATTGAAGCGTTGGCCGCACCCCTCGGTGATTTACTCACTCTGAGACTTGCATCTCACTTGGTTCCCTTGTTCCTATCAAGCACCTATTGGTAACCGTGTTGGCACATATAGTTCAATGAGCAGCCCATACGTTTGCATGAATCCAACTTCCGTAGAATGCGCAGTGAGGAGAAACAAACGAGCAAGCGAACGAACGAACACACAAACACAGAAAAGCAAAACACACACACACAAACAGAAACAGAAACGCACAAACACAAACAAACAAACAAACAAACAAAGACCAACAAACAAACAAAAACAAAAACAAACAAAAACAAATAAAAACAAAAACAACGAACACCAACAAACAAACAAACAAACAAACAAACAAACAAGCAAACAAGCAAACAAGAACACACAAAAACAACCAAGCAAACACACAGCGAGAGACATCCAACACAAACAAGCACGCACTTATATGTGCAACAGATCACTGTGTCAAACACTAAAAGATCAAGGATTTGCTTGAGAGGCTCATCCGCTTGCTGCAGGCCTGCCCAGGCCTGTGCTGGCAGTCGCGGCGTCGGCTGTGCCATATGCCTGGCGCGACCGCCAGGAACGAGGCGCAGAGAGAGAGGGCCCGGGCAGTGTGTCATATCAGGCCCAACCAAAACGGGAATGCCAAAACTACGGGCCCTTTCCAATGCTTGGTTTCCTTTGGGGATCCTTTGTGGCCAAGAAATGTTCAGCTCCCTCATTGTTGTGTAGGCCCCTGCTTTGAGAGCCGAGTCTTGGTTTCGGCTTCAGGGGGGGGGGGTTTCGACTGGCACTGAGAGCATCGCATGGCAGGAGGTGGAGGCGTTCCCGCGCATCAGCCGCTCCGATGTCAGGACTCAGATGTTCAGGGTGTGGTCCGTGTGGACAACGTCGGCATTGGAAGTCACATTGAAGCAACCAGTATCTCACCGTGCTGCCTTGGACAACAGTAGAAGAAATCAAAATAAACCTCCCATGCTTACACAGCAGGAACAGCTTAGTTGTATTGAAGATCCTGCACATTGCTACAGCTACTTGCTGCCTGCACCTTCCCTCCTGATCTAAAGCCATGACAGGGAGAGCCGTTGTAACCTAGAAGGTCGCTGGCGACATCTAGCGACTTGTTTGGCTCCTACGTACCACCAAAGGCAATGACTTTCCTGTGGCTGTCAGTAAAATGAGCTTTCAGGGTCGGTCCCACCCTCAGGACTCCGAACAAATGCCTCTGTTTTGGGTCCTTTTGTTCTCCGTTTCCAGCGACTAAGTACCAACTGCGTCAAATGCGAGGTTTTGCAGTTACTCCTTTGCAAATTGGCATGAAGCCATATGAAGCCCAAAAAGTGCTTTGAATCATTTTGGGTTTGCGTCAAAATAGGGGGCACCCGCGCACCCCAAAATTTGCGTTTTTTGTTTGGCGTTCCTTTGAACCCAAAGGATACCCCACAAAAGCATGAACTGTTTCTGACTGCAGGACAGCGCCTGCGACCACTCGGTGGCTGAAGCCTTCATGAAGGCTGCGGCCCAGTCTGCCATGGCGGGGATCCGACTTCAGCATGGAGGCGCGGGGCGGGCCCGTTTCCCCATGTCTCCTCTTTGCTTTGCTGGGTTCCCCGCTAAAAGTCCCCCCCAAAAAGGGAAGGACGGCCTTATGTTGTGGGAATGTTGTAATGACCACTGGAAGTGGTCATCCCCAAGAACGCAAAAAGGGAACGGCTTGTTATGGTGTGAATGTGGGGATGTGAGGCAAAGGATGGGCCTAGGAAATAGCACCGCGGGGGAGGAATCTGGATGTTTGGATGAATTGCAATGCTGGTTGACAGTTTAGAAACAACGCAGTGCTATGAATTATACATAAAGCAAAACAATTGTCATGTCAAATATGTTTGTGAATTGCTTGTTGCAATGGATCGATCCTTTGACTCCCATGTGTTTCGTACTATTGGGTGTCGTTTTTTGTTGTTCCAGTTGTTTTTCCCCACTCAGCAAATTTGGGTTCCCTTAACCCGCACTTCCCCTGGTGTCGTCCGAAGAAGGCCTTAGCAAGGCCTTGTTGGGGTCCTTTTGGGCGGAAACAGGAAAGGGGGAGGGGTGAGGGGCGATCAATCCTATGACCCACCTGACATGCCCCACTGAAGCGGGGCATCCCTTCCAAGTTGGTGCAATGAGGACCCTTCGGGGCGGCCGTGGTGCGCAACGGGGTCATCATCTCCTGCGCGCACAACATGGTGCTTGATAGGCCTGGGGAGGCAAAAAGGCGCAGAAAGTGGCCGGAACATAACCATAGTTGCATCCTTCTTAAGGGGACTCGCAAAAATGGCTTTGGCGGGTTGGAGCCATGCATAATAACCACGAAAGCATGGACCAGACCCAAATGCCGGTCCCCTTTGGAGGGAAACCGAAATGATATGACGTGAACATGTGGGCATGTCTAGTGTTTTGAGGACATTTAGAAGCACAAACAACTTGGCCCAAGTCTGCAGGGAGCTGGAAGCTGATCGAATCGTCGTGCGATGTAAGTTGACCAGGTGGTATTGCTTCTTAGGCGGCTGGCCACACAACCAAGAATGGCAGCTACAAACTGAGACAGCCTTGGCAACAATTCTTCTGATGGAGTGCGGCATGTGTAGAGGCGTGTATTGGATGTGCCGATTGATTGTAAACTCAGCCAAGTTGTTGTGCACCACATCTTACTTCTTGTCAATGGCCTCAAGCCTAGGATAGAGAATATTATACAAACTAAGCAACCAATCGACCAACCAAACCACAAGCAATCAAGCAAGCAAGCAACAGACAAACGAACGATAGAACAAACAAAACAGACAGACAGACAGACAGACAGACAGACAGACAGACAGACAGACAGACAGACAGACAGACAGACAGACAGACAGACAGACAGACAGACAGACAGACAGACAGACAGACAGACAGACAGACAGACAAACAAACAAACAAACAAACAAACAAACAAACAAACAGCACACACACACACACTGCACAGCAGCAAGACCCTGCCAGGGCTGACCCATGCTGCCACGCAGAGATGAATGCCATTCAGCAGGCGTGCCAGGCGGGAAGCCAGATGACGAAGACCCTTTTGGGGAATTCCCTCGTGACTTCATGTCATGACTTAGTGACTTCCATTGTTGAACAGGGAAGCCTTTTGTTGACGGCCATTTCCCGGGAGTCCTTGCAGACCGCGTTAGAGGCACTGCCAGGTTCGGCGAAAAAGAAGCACATGTATTCCAGCAGCAAGGGACAGCGCAGAAATCGCCATGTTGAATTGGCAGCTATTGCCAACGCTATTGGCAGTGGAATTGCCGGCTCTTTTGTCCAAGACGATCCCTACAAGGCAACAGGCGTCTTGCTCCTTTGTCCAAATTTGAGCCAGACGATGAATCAATGCGATTTGATCAAGCAAACAGGATACATTCACACAGTCAAGGCCAGTTCTCTCACAATAAGACAACAACACGGCGTACCTGTCGAGACTGCAAACTTAGGTTATCATGCGACACCTTTCTTGAGTCTGTGCTTGTCCCTGTATTGCCAGCACGCCTCAAAGATATTAGGCTCATATTGTTTTGGGCCAAACAGACCAGACATGGATTGAGTAGCCAAATGCATTTTTGATGAGGCAATGGGTTCACATGACCTTTCTGACTGCGAGCTCTACACCACGTGTCGCTCGTATGCAAGGTTGGTCAGCAGAAGTCAGCGAGAACTCAGCTACTCTGCAAAGCAAACAAAAGAGCTGTTGTGTCTTGAGTTTTGATACAACATGAAGCTTCCCTGGCACTTGCAAGATACGTCTCGCTGTGTCTGTGCAGTGCCTATTTGCCGTGGCCTTGCATTGTGATGTTCTGATGTTGTATGATTTCAGCAAGGCGAGCCATGTCCGATGTGCTGGGGAGCCGTGCAATGGTCGAGGCCCGATCTGGGTTCAGGACACCTTTGCCTGCAGCTTGCCAGCCGCGCTTTTTTTAGACCGACCACAGGACACTGTTGCTGTGTGCGCGGCTCCATTTGAGATACAATCGTGAATGATGGTCAGGAGCAAGCTTTCGTTGATTCAGTCCAGCGAGAAAAGAGGACCGCTTCTGACACATGCCCACTTGCTTGGCTTCCAGGCTTGGTCGAGCTTACATCGGAGTGGACCGCCATACAGCTGCAAAGTACGGCTTTGATGACAAGGCCTTTCTTTGCAGTTCGCAGCCTGGTGCAGTCGTGAAAACGGTACCTAACAGGTGTTCTACGATGAGATCGATTCCAAAGCCGGCCACTACGGAATCCGAAGGATGGGTCTTGCAGCTTGAGCGATCAGATGTTCCTTTGTGCGATAGCAGAGTTGCTTGGCAGGACAGGTTTCATCCCCGACTCGTCGGTTCCCATCAACCCTCAGGGAGAGCGAATCTTCAAGAATATGGTGGATGTTT